ACGACGAGACGCTCCGCTACGACACCGCGCTCCGCGCTTGCTGGGAGGACCTGGCGGAGCGGCCGCTCGGGCCCGAGGCTCGCGACATGCTAGGCTTGCCGGCGAAGCTGGGTGGCGTGGGGGTTCAGTGGGCGGCCACGCGCAGGGCGGCCGCGTACTGGGCGGCCTGGGCGCAGGCGGCAGGCGAGGTGCAGCGCGGCCTCGGCGCCGCCTCGCTTGCAGACGCCCTGGGGACGCTCCCGCAGACGCGCGCGAAGCTCGAAGAGGCGCGCGCAGAGCTGGGGCGCCAGGGCGCCGAGCCCTCCCCGGGGGCCCCGCTAGCTGCTGCGCTACGGGAGGAGACGCGACAGAAGACGGTCGTTGCGATTATCCACAAGACAACTCACGCTGCCGTCAAGCAGCGAGTGGATCTTCGCAGCAAGGCCACCTTGCTGTCTGCGGGCGGCCCTGGGGCAGGCGGCTTTTTGCAGTACCCGACGGAGCCCCTCTGCGCCCTGGAGGACGTTGACTGGAGCACCTCTCTGCGCCGCCGCCTGCAGCTGCCGCGGCCGGAGTGCTCGCTCGCGGAGCTGGCCCGGGCCTCTGCTACCTGCTGCAACCAGACGGCGAGCGGCGCCACCTGCGCGGCCCCGCTGGACGAAGACGGCTACCACGCCTGCACTTGCCAGTCTGGCGGGGGCGTCGTGAGGCGCCACGGCGACTTGGAGAAGACGCTGGGGAGCTTGGCCGGGAGGTGGCGCCACTGCGTGCCCCTCTACGAACAACGAGTCCCTGCTTGGGATAGGCACCGCGCGCGGCGGCCAGCAGAAGGGCCCGGCCCGCCGGTCCTGGAACGCGCCGTGTTGGACCTCCAGTACGCGGAGGTGGACGGCTCCTGGTGGGTGGACGTGACGGTCCGCCACCCGGCGGCAGGCGACGAGACGGCGCCCCGGGCTGCGGCGCGACGGCCGGGAGAGGCTACGCGCAGGGCCGAGCGCGAGAAACACGAGAGGTACCCGGGCGAGCGGCTCGCGGCTTTCGCCCTGGAGACCTCCGGCCGCTTGGGCGCTGAGGCGCGACAGCGGCTGCTGGCGCAGGTGCGCGAGCTCCCCGAGGACACGCAGCCCGGCGAGCTGGCGCGCGCCTACAAGGCGCTCAGCTGCGCGCTGCAGCGCCAAGTGGCGCGCCAGCTTCGGCGCGCCGCCGGGCTGCGCTAAGCGGGGAGGACTGCTCGGCCCGGGCAGGGGGCGGCGCCGGCGCTGGGCGTCGGCGCGGGGCTGCGGGGCGGGCAGCTGCTGGCGCTGGGCTGACGGCGGCTGCTACTGCCGCCGCTGCTGCGCGCGGACTGCTGCGCGCAGGGGCCGAAGGCCGGGGGCGCGCGCTCGCCGGACAGGGCGGCGCGCGGCGCGGGGTGGAGGCCGGAGCGGGCGGCTGACGGCGCTGCTGCCGGGCACTGCTGCGCTGCGGGCGGCGCCGGACGCGGGCGACCTGCGCTCGACGCCGGCTACATCTCGCTCTGGCTGCACGTCCTGGTCCCGGGTATGCCAAGGAGGCTATAGGCCCCGGCTGGCACAACCCCTCCCCGCCAGGGGCGGCCGCTGTTTGGACGCTGGGCCCTCGTGCTGGGCGTGAGGCGGCGGCTGCTCCTGGGGGGCCGGTGCGAAGCACTGGGGGGTTGCGCCGGCACCAATTCAAAGTGCGCTGGGACCGCGCGCCGCCGGGTGGAGGAGGAGGAAGAAGAGGAGGAGGAGGAGGACGAGGAGGAAAAAGGAGAGGTCAAGGATGATGGAAGATGGAGGAGCGATGAGGGAAGGCGGAGGAAGGAGGGGTGAGGGTGAGGGAGGAGGAGGACGAAAATTGAGGAGGGGATGGGGAAGTGCGGAGCACTGATGCGGAAGGAGGAAGGCGGGGGAGAAATACGGAGGGGTGTGGGAGCGGAGACAGGGGGGAGGGAGGATGGTCGGAAGGGGGGTTGAGGGAATCGAGTCGTTACTGTCGCTCCCCTTGGCTCTTTTGTGTGCGAGCCTGGCGCGGGTTTCCAGGCGTTTGGAGCAAGACAGTGGGTGTGCTCTGCTCCGCCCAGCGTTGCGGAGAAACGGTGCGCGCGCCCCCCCCTTCGGGATGATCGATCCTTTTGGGGGTGATGTGCACGTTTCATGCAATTTTGCCTCGTTCATCGTCGTCAAATCAAATTACGCACGCGCACCAGTTTCAGGCGATCGCAAACATGGATCAAGGGGGCGTGGATCAGCGACGTGTCCCGTTTCCCTGGGAAATCCCGGATTTTCGCCGCCGAATGAGGCGGCACCGGCCGCATTTGGGGGAGGGCACCTCTCCCGATCCATGGATTTGGCGACCGCGCGCCAATCCATGGATCGCTAATCCATGTTTGCGCGCCCCCGATAGCTAATTACAACCCAACGGTGTTTGCAGCAAAAGGGCTGGGCTCCACACGCGCGCGTCGTCGCGCGCGTATGCCACAATCTTCCTACAACCATAGGTGTCGCATGGATTTCAATATCGAGTGTCCCGAAACCATACAGACATACTGATGTTGGCCACATGCTTCTTCACAAAAGTATTCGCGGGCTCCTTGCGAATTCTTCAGAAAACCATGGTTTTCAACATTCTCATCACATGCGAGCAATCGAGCCTGTCGCGCGCGAGTGCCGAAATCATTCGCACGCCCTTGCGCGCGTGCTGGGGCGGGTGGGGGGCACGATCCCTCCCAACTAATACCATGCGGGCCACTCGCTCCCGTCGGACGCGCGCACATGTCGACCTCCCCCCAAATGCCTTCATTGTCGACATGTGGACGCCATCCTCGTCATCGGCGTGAGCAGCATCGGTGCCGTCATTGGCCTTGCCGACGAGAGTGTCATCATCGTGGCCAGCACCGCTACCATCATCATCGTGTGTGTGTGTGCCGTTGTCGACGTCGCTGTGGTGCCGCGCCCGCCCGAGTCACAGACTCGAGGCGACGTGCCCGCGCGCGTCGGCGCGGCGCGGTCTGCGAGACGCGCTGGGACGGCCTCAGCGGTTCGCGCCACCGCGGATGCGTCTGTCGTGCCAGACAAGTTGGCCGATTTGCGCGCGAGACCGCGGGCGCTAGCGCGGCCGCAGCGATGTCGGGTGTAGACTGAGTCCCGCCCTGACACGTCGATGAGTGAATTGTCAGTTTTCGGTTCTTGAGATGGCGCCGCGGCCGTCATTTTCCAGGCTTGCTTCCGCCAGGTTTGGGCCCGAGGTCGTTTTCATCAAACCATGTTTTGCTAAAAGGGGTTTTGTCCATCCCCGACGATGTACTACCCAGCGCCAAGCAGTCATCCCAATCCCTGCCGCATGGGTTTTGCACGCAAAGGTGCGGGTGGGTGGGTGGGCTGAATGCGAGAGCAGTGGAGTTGACAGTATCAAGTTCGGCAGGGTGATCAGAGGAAGGGCAACGTTCGAATGTCAGGACCTAAGAGCCAGCTGGCAAATCGCTAGGAACAGGAAGTCAGCAGTAAACGCATGGAGGGGGAATGGCCGAGGATGGGGGGGCGAGGAATGAGGGAGGAGTGGGGGATAAGAGAGGATGTTGGGGACGGACCTACAGCCTGGAACCCATGACCATTCGAGATCGGACGCATCGGGATCAGACACTTCTTCCGAGGTGAGCCTGGCGACGCGTCGAATTCTCCCCCATGGCCTTTCACCCAGTGGAGATCGTCTTCTTCGAGGCCGAACGAGTCCAAGACTTGCTCCCACCAGTCGTAGCCGTAAGAGGAGCCAAAACGTTCGGGCCCAGCGTTTGCATCATCGGCCCCAGATCCTGACCCAAGCGCTTCGGCCACCGTCCGACGCTTGACGAGGTTTAGACCCTCATGGGCCCCGAGCTGCAGATCTTGGGGACCTTCTTGTATTTCGGGAACTTGCTCTGCCGAGTTCGTTTCAACTGATGCGAAATTCCGCTCGTGCCCGTCTTGGGCCGACGCGGCCCCGGGGTCCCAGAGTTGGGGCTCCCTCAGAAGAGGACACCGCTTTTGCAAGAGAAAACGTTCCGGCTCCGATGGGCCCCTCGACTTGTCAGAATTGGGGTTGCCAGGAGAGCGTGGCCGTTGGTCCGACAAACCTGGCGAGCGAGAAACAGCCATTCCTCACACAGATCCTCCCCACCCGCCCCCGTCTTCTGGTTGTCCGCCAGGGCCTGCCGACTGGATTCTTCCCCATCGCCGTCCGCGAGCGCCGCCGTCGAGCTGAAGCCTGGCGCTTGCTGGGCGCCCACTGAACCTGTCTCTAGGCCGACCGCGTCGTGTTGTTCTGCTCCGTTGATCGCCACCTCGAGTGCCCCAACCCACCGACACGCCTCTTGAGCTAAGCTCTTGAGGCCTCGGTAGACGCTCGCATCATCGTCTGTGATGCCGCAGGCGTCGGCTCCTCGCTTGGCAAAATCATCGTCTGTTGAATTCGCTCTCTGCTCCCAGACCGTGCTCGTTTGAGCCTCGATGTCTGAAACTGTGGTATGGTCCAGGGTCTTGAAAGTTTCGAAGCCTGGGTAGGAGAGCGTGGATGTATGGATGTATGGACGGAGGTCCTCCCAGGCCAGCGAGCAGAGGGAGGATGACAAGTGGACCAGACATGAGACATGGTCAGTGAGGGGTGAGGAACCGGGGGGGATGGAGGAGAACAGGGAAGGAAGGAGAGGGAGCGATGTAAGGGCAAGGCAGTCGCAGGCCACATCTTGTAACGCCCAGGGGTGCGAGGCTGGTGGCACCGAGGCGAGGAACATCTTGCCTGCCGTTCAGTTGTGCTTACACGCGTCCTGATTCACCAAGCGCGTTCCTCGACTCACAGAGTGCATACTCGCAAACGTCAGGGAAAAAACACAAACCGAGAACAGGGGTGCCTCGGTGGAGTGAATCGTACATCCCCCGCGGCGGATCCAGGCCATCTGCGAGCAGTTGCTTTGCGAACGGTGGAGCGCGCTGGTCTGCGGATGGCCGTCGACAGTGGACAGGGGAATGAGAGCGTGACCCGGACAGTCGATGTACGACTACACCGTTTACCTGCCGCACAACTCCCCCAACTTGCCGAACTTCACGACGACCTTCACGGACGCCCCCCCCTCCCCGAGCGGCGGCGCCCCCTCGCTATCTTCGGAGACCATGGCCCTCCAGAGAGTTGCAGCATAGTCTTACAGACCCGTAGGCTTGGCTGGACTCCTGCAAGCCTCGAATGGGATCCAGATTCAAAAGTCCCGGTGTTTTTTGGGGCCCTCCTAGAAGTTCAGCGGCGGGGAAGGGGGGCACCCCCTCCATGGACTCCCCTGGCGGCCCCCTGCATGGGGGGCCCTCCAGACCGCGGGTGCTCATCCTCGAAGATCGTGACGAAACACCCCAGAACTCCCAGGACGGCTTGTCTCGGCCTGGACTGTGTTGTTGGACGGTCCTGGGGCCCTTGTGCTTGTCGCGGGACGTTGGGCTTCTGACGAGGGGTGGGAGTCGCGAGGGGCAACTGATGAACTATGGCACAATTCCGAAGACGCGCGCGCGCACGTCGCGTGGCTCCTGTGGGCTGTTGTTGCTTCACGCGCGTGCCTCCCGCATCCTGGTCGTCCTGGAGGTCCTCGCGTTTGGGCGCGTCCGCCGCCCCCTTTGGGTTGCCCTCCGGGGCAGCGGCATTCTGGTCCGCTCGCGCCCGTTGAAGGCCTGGGTGGCCCCGCACCCCGCTGCCCCGCCACCTCCCCGCAGCCACTCCCCGCCGCTCGCGGAGCTCACCGCCCACCAAGCCACCCCGACCCTACCCTAGGGCCCCGACTGACTCCCCATTCTCCACTTCCATTGGGGGGGGGTCTGGGAACACTGGCAAGGCGCAGAGAGAAAACCCGTACCCCCCCCACCCGAAATTCGGGTCTTCGGGTTGGCTTGGGGTGGTCGCGGGTGGTCGAGCTGCCCCCGCCGCCCCTCTCGGGGTAGCCTACTGGGCCATGACAGGCCCGCCCCTTCCCCCTCGTGGAGGGCCCCGCTCCCCCGCCCTGGCCCGCCCTCCCCCGGCCGCTCGAGGGAGGTGTGGCCGCCGCCCCGCTGAGTTTCGAGCCTTGGATCTTCGAGCCCTCGAGCCCAGAGCCCCCCAACCTCCGAATTTCGATCCTCGAGCGTCGAGCCCAGAGCCCTCGAACCTGTGCCGACCGACCGACGAGGTCTCTTCGGGCGCGGCTCGGACAGGGATAGGGATGACTCATTCCAGAGCGTTCCGGAACGCTCTCCCGGAAGGCTCTCAGAGCGTTACGGAACGCTCCGAGAAGGCCGCGGCGCCCTACACATCCTCAAGAACCGCTCAGTGATCCCGTGATTCCCGATCTACCCTGCTCTGATTTCGCCCCTGCCCGGTCTTGGAGCATCTTGGGGGCGCCTGAGGCTGCCCTGGAGCCCTGTCACCAGCGTCGACGGGAAGGGGTCTACCCGCATCGCTATAGGTCGTGGAAGGCCCTCCCCTGGCTTCGGGCCTCGTCCCCCCCCCGCCCGCCCGCGTGCCCTGCTTCCTGCCAGGAGATGTGCCAGCCGCTCTGCGAGGCCGGCAATGCGCCCGCGCGCGCGGCGCCGCGGCGCGCTGCGGCGATCGGGGCACGGGCAGGACGCGACAGGAAGGACCACGTGTGGCTCTGGAGGGGCTCTGAGTTTCGGGCCGTTCCTTGGGCCTATGCCGTGGAGCCTGCTCGTGGCCGAGGCCCGTGGCGGCCAGAAAAACGAGTCCTTAGCTTTGCCTTCGGCGTTCCTTGGGTAGCACGGGGGGGGGATGTGGCGGGGAAGCCTCGAAACTGTTGCGTGCCGCCGGTTCTGGTCCCTCCGCCAGGCCGCGGCGCGCTGCTCCATCGGGTTACGGCCAAGGCGTTGAAAGCGGGACCACTTGGGGCTCCGGAGGGGCTCGGCTTGTCGGGCCGTCCCTTAGATTGTAAAGGCCTTACGGCCAGAGCCGCCGACCCTGAAGGGCGACGGCGACGACGACGACGACGACGACGACGAAAGGCATTAAAAACTTCAGGAGGGTCTCTGGCTTTCGCGTCGTTCCTTATCCTCCTCTTCCTCCTCCTCCTCCTCCTTCTCCTCCTCCTCCTCCTCCTCCTCCTCCTCCTCCTCCCCATCCCCATGCTCACCCCCTTCGAGACCACCACCAAATTGCACCCCCATTTGGGGATATACCCCTCGAAACCTAACGGATACAGCCCACATCCCCATCTAGGGGGGTAAATCGGCCAGTGGGGCCCAGCCCAAGCTTTTAGGGATGGGGATCGGTTGAACGAGACTCAAGGTCTCGACGTTGTGTCGGTTCTCGTCCGGTTCCGGAACTCGGGGTACATTCCAGCAGTTGCGCCTCGCAGAGGGATTTCTTGATTTGACCCGATCGTCCCGAACGGCCGCTGGAGGCCTGAGTCATGGCCCGAAAGCCGATTGAGCCTTCAGGTCCTATCTCGGTTCGAGCGATCCGACTCGAGCTCACCCCGCTCGATCCAATTATTGGATTTCGATCTCCTGGCGATCCGGTGCGGCCCGATGCAAGCACGCCGCAGTTGTGTGTATTGGCGCGGCCGATTCGAGTAGATTCTATACGGTACGAGTGATATTCGTTTCGGTTTTATTGGTACGGTTCCGACTGGTTCCGGGTTCCCTCGTGGACGTTTCCTGTAGCCGATGGATCCCACGAAAGACGTGGCGAGCGTCTCACCAGTCGGAGGGGAACGTCGTGTTTCCCATCTGCTATCCCCTCCCTCTGCCGTCCCCACCCCGCCCCCCCTCCAGGGATGGGCAGGAGGAAGGAACGAGCGATGCTGACGAGGAGGAGGAGGAGGAGGAGGAGGAGGAGGAGGAGGAGGAGGAGGAGGAGGACGGCGAGGAGGAGGCTGAGGAGGGAGAAGGGGATGAGGGGCATGTAGGCGGAGGAGGGAGGGGGAGGGGGAAGGATGAGCTGGATGACGTGGACGAGGAGAAGGAGGAGGAGGAGGAGGAGGAGGAGGAGGAGGAGGAGGAGGAGGAGGAGGAGGAGGAGGAGGAGGAAGCGGCCTCGCTGCCATCGCCCCCTCTCCAACTTCCCGTCCATGCTGCCGACGATGTCGTGGGGTGGGGGCCGTGGGAGGCGCCCAGCGGCTTGGGCTGGGAGCTCTGGCCAGGGGGGCGGGCCGGCCCTGGGGTAGGCGTGGGGCCCCGCCTGGCGTGTGGGCCCTGCCCTGCAGCATGCGCGGCTCTCGCCACCTCGCTGGAGGCAGGGGGCCCTGATTGGGGAGTCTCTCAAGGCCAAGGGGGTCCTCCTCCTCCTCCACCTCCTCCCTCCTCCCCCTCCTTCTCCTCCTCCTCCTCCTCCTCCTCCTCCTCCTCCTCCTCCTCTTTCTCCTCCTCCTCCTCCTCCTCCTCCTCCTCCTCCTCCTCCTCGTAAGGCCAGGGGTCCGGGCGCCTCCGCAACGCACCTCCGCACCAGGAGAGGGGCTCTCCTGGGACCGCACCCGGGGGGGGCCCCGAACGACCCCCGGACCTGCGGGGCAGCGCTCCCGGCCCGGGCGCCCCAGCACTGCGCCGTGCCGTCGTCGGGCCGCGAGCCCCTGGAGCTCCCAGCTCCCCCCTGCGCTCCGGGGCCCGCCGAGGGTCGCGGATCGCTCGCCTGACGGCAGGGGGGTCGGCCCCGCGGAGGTCGCGGGCAGTTGCGGGGGAGAGGATTCAGATATTCACCAGCCTGGAACCTATCCCTATCCCTATGTTGGGCATCGCCGCGTCACGATGGCGATCTTAGGAATTCCCTCAGTTTCTGAGGGTGCATCCCTAAGATTGTCATCGCCTTTTGGCGTGTCAATCTCAGGGATAGGGATAAGTTCGAGGCTGCTTAGACATGGCCGCCGCGGGCAGACCGTGTCAGGGGCCGCTGCAGACAAGTTGCGCACCGCTGGGGGTCCCCAGGTCTCCACGCGGTCTGTCGCCGAGCCGAGCGTTGCCCAGGCCGCGTAAAGGTTGCGGAGGTCGCTGGAAGTTGCCACGGCCCGTGCGGGAACTTGGTCCTGAGGATTCAGATGCGGCTCTTGCACGGGGTTGTTTATTGCGTGTGGCCGGGTCCACGAACGACTAGTGATGTCTCACGAGGGGCGATGTCTCACGAGGGGCGGCGCCGATGTTCGAAGTGGTCCTGTGCATCGTCTCTAGGCCCCGAGAGCCAGAACAGTGCACCGCATTGGAACGGTCCCGGAAGGGAATCCAAGCTGTTCTTTGTCGGAGGCTACGTGGGACACGGGGCGTGGAGCAGCAAGTTGGTTCAAGAGACAAAAACCCACCCCCACATCCACCGGGAAGAATCTTGCGTCTTGTCGGAACGCTCGTGGACGCAGTTGGCGCGCTCCCACGGCGGAGAGTACAGAGCGCCACGGGCTCGGCTTCGTAACTATGTTTTTTTGTTTTGTTTGGTGAGCGCGCGGCCGCGGAGGCGGGCAACGGAGGGATCCGCGCCAGGGGCGCGCACCACTTCACTCCTGGTGCAGGCGGTCTCGGGCTCCAGAGGGGGAGGCCGGACAGGTAGGGGGCCACATGCGAACCATACCCCTACCCCCCACGATTTCTGAAGGGGAGGGTGGGGTTCACATCGCTCGGGAGCTCCCGAGCGAAGTGACACCCCCCCCTCAAAAATCGTGGGAGGTAGGGGTAGGGTTCGCATGTGGCCCCCTAACAGGGGCGCCGTCCTCGTCGAGGGGAGCTCGGCAGGTCCAGGGCTCCGCGGGGCGACTCGGGCGCCTCGGCGGGGGGGAGGTCCCGCACGGCTGCCGGCTGTCGGCGGCGAGCCGAGGGAGCGAGGCGGCATGGCAGCAGCGCAGGCCGCCGGCGCCTGGGAGGCAGGAAATCCGTAAGGGCTTCGCCCCCTGCCGCCGGCCCCCTCTCTCGGAGAATGGGCCATGGAAGAGCTAAGTCATGAGGCTTTGGCGCTGTCGTGCAGCAGTATCGGAACTTCATGCGAGGCCGATTCGCAATCGGCAAAACCAACTGATCACAAAAGGGGTTACCACACAGCGCGATTGGTAAGACGTGTATGGTTTACGAGCTTGGTTACCACACCTTGGGATTAAAGGGCCGAGGGAGTACTCGCAGTTTGGGTTACCACGCCTTGCGATTGATGTGCGTGAGGGGTGGCACCGAATTTCAGAAATGTGGCAAATCCCCTGTGTTTCAGAAATGTGGCAAATCCCCTGTGTTTTTGGACCCTGACCCCGCGGATCTGCGTGAGGGGTGTCGATTTCGAGCCCCCCCAGCAATTCAGACAACGCGCCCAGGGGGTGCTACCCGAATCAATTAGTTACCCAGCAAGAAGCACAACGTTGGTTTGGGCCTCCCCCCCCCTCGCGCGGTCAATCAATTAGTTACAGTAACCAGCAAGAAGCAGAACTGTAACACTGGAAACTACAAGCTACAACTGGTACAGGAAACTGCGAATCACGGTCCTACAGCCTGGTGGCCCCACAAGGGGGCCGGCGGATTTGACGCTCGGAAGCCGGGCAAGGGCTGCTAAATCCGTGGTTGCTAAACTCGTCCTCCGGGAAGTTGGCTTCGTCCTTCGGGGAAGCAGCCCGTTGACTGTTTCGCGTGCCGCGCCTCATTCCGGGAAGTTGTTTTTTTCTTCTGGGAGGGCCGTTTTAGCAGCCACGGTTTTAGCAGCCCTCGCCCAGCTTCCCAGATGCGCTCCGACTGCTTCGCGGCCAGGTCCTGCCTTCGGCAGGTTGCGCTGTTCGGGCCGGGCGACAGGGGAGGAGAATACAGCCAAGGCGCCGAAAGAAGGGCCGGAGTTTGACAGACCTCCCTGCCTGACACGTCGATCAGTGAATTGGCCGTTTTCGGTTCGCGAGAGGGCGTCGCGGCCGTCATTTTTGCGGATCCAGGTCTGTCGATTTCGGTCCTTGGCCGCTTTCATTAAATGCAGGCTTATCAAAGGGAGGCTTGTCCATCGCCGAACGGACCACGCGGGCGTCTGGAGGGGCTCAGTGTTTCGGGCAGTCCGACGACTGCAAGCAAGGGGATGTCTCGAAAGCTGCTGCGGGCAGCTGGTTCAGGCCCCTCCGCCAGGCGCCCTATGCGATACGTGGCCGCCGTCGGCTCAGGGAGGCGTCGGGAACACTGGCCGCGTGTTGCCGATTCGTTAGCGGCCCCCCCACGCTTTGCTGTCCCCCCTCTCTTTCGTTAAGTATCGTTTGCAGTCGAAACAAACCGATGGTAAGGATGGGTCAGCTTCGCAAGGGCCACTTGGGCGGAAAGCTCGGATGTTCGGTTCGCGACCCTCTCACGGGCTCCTTTGGGGGCCGTCTTGGGGTCTTTTTGGGCCGTCTTGGGCGCCTCTTGGGCCGTCTTGGGCCCTACTAGGGGCGTCTTGGGGGCCCCTTGGGGTGTCTTGGGCCCATGTTGGGCGGCTTGGAGCGATCATTGGGCGTCTCGGGACCCTGTTGAACCGTCTTTGGGGCCTCTTGGGGCCCTCTTGGCCCGTCTCAGGGCCCTCCTGGTTCCGAAAGATTCACGCGAGAAGTCGCGGGGGAGCCTGGGAGAACCGCGTCAAGCCCCGGGAGATTTGAGAATTTGGGGTCTGGGCCCCTTAAAAGGCGCCTCAGGACTGAGGCTCCAGGGTCCAGGGCTTAGTCAAAAGGACCAGAGGACACGCCCACTCCGTGCTCAGAGGCACGGTGGCGGATCAGGCTTGACGAAAACCAATCCCTATTCCCATCCCGATCCCCACCATCCCACTATCCCAGATGAGGATACGCCGCTCGAAGCCCGGAGGGAACAGCACCATATCCCCATCCCATCTAGGGGGGATACATCGGCCGGTGAGGCCCAGGCCACGCCAGTGGGGATAGGGATCCATTAAACGATGCTCATCCGTCCGACCCAAACTTGATGCGCTCCACCAGCTTTCCAGTCAGATCTGCTGCCCCACCAGCACGCTCTCGGAGCAGTTCGGTCGATCTCCCCTGGGAGGTCCAGGGCGAGCGCGCGCGCGCGCCATGCGAGGGCCTGATGTGGGGAACGGAAGTCGCCGAGAAGCGGCGGAAGCTGATGCAGGCTCTTCATCCCCCCCCCAACAGGAAGGAGGATCGGAGACCGAGGAGGAGGATCGGCGGCGGGCCCGGGTGGGAAGAAGGAAGGCGGCGGGGCTTCTCGGAAGCCCTCGGGCTTTCTGGGCAGTTTTCTGCGTCCTCGGGGCAGGCTCAGGCAACTTCTTTGCAGGCCCGAGGCCAGCCGAGCCATCTAAGAAGGCCCGCCCCCTCTCATTTTCCCCCCGGGCTCGCCGCCGAGAGGATCGAGGGCCGAGGAGGAGGAGGAGGAGGAGGAGGAGGAGGAAGAGGCGCATCGAAGGACGAGATACCAGGGAAGAGGTCGAGGTTTTGGGCCCGCGCAGTGAGGGGTAGGGGATCGAACGGATTTGGGACGTTTGTGGGCCCTATCAAGCCTCCTGGTACACTCCTCCTCGAAAGTTTGGCCAGAACGCTGTCCTCGAGTTGTTTGGGCGAAGACAAGCTCACTCCGGGGAGGGGCAGGGGGGGCTCTCCGTGGATGTGTATCCAAGTGCCCTGACACATGTTTTGTGCAGCAGATGTGCTACCATGGCGCCGAAGTTGATCTCAAGATTCTCCTTATCATGCCTCGTGTCTCCTTTCTTCTTGCCTCTCACTCTCTCTCTCTCATATTCCGTCTCCTCCTATCCGATTCCCCCTGCTCCAAATTCTGCAATGCGAATTGTAGTTTGGCGGCGTTACAGAAGCGGTTCTCTACGTGGCGGCCTTACACATGATTATCTTCTGTACGCCTGCAAGGAGGAATCATGCTGTACCGGCCTCAAATATTGTTTGTATGTGTGTGCGCGTTAGGCTTCACAATCGGTGAGATCGAGTTGGAAGGCCGCTGCTCAGTTGTACCTGGCGCTCGAACTTCTGGCAGGAAACCTTTGCTGATCCACAGCAGCGCAACGAATGTTTTCTCCAATATCGGGAAAGGGGGTTCGAACGCTATGGAGTTTGTCTGACTGTTGATTTTTTCTTCTGTCGTGGCAGTTTCGGTAGCATCACATGTGTTATCATTGTTGTTTCATTGTTTTCCTTGTCAAAGGTTCCACTCTCAGAGGCTTCCGATTGCTTACGTTCAGAGGAGCCCTACACATGGTATTCATCGTTGCGGCGGCCTGATAATATTCTACTTGTGAGGCTTATAGTAGTTACTTGCGCGGCGGCCTTGAATCCATATTCGAAGCGTAATGTACATGTCATTGCGGCGTCACAGAACTCATTTCATCTCCAAAGCTCTCGGATCCATATGCGCTTGCTTCCGCCTCTCCTGGCTCCGAAGTAAGCGGGTCCTTGTAGAAACGGGACCCGAGGTTTGCAGGTGGTTTCTCGTTGTTTCTCGTTTTTGGGGGGAATTTTCGATGACAAATCAAGCCGCTCAGAAAAGGGGGGGACTTACCCCTACCGAGGATGGACGCGGCGACAGTTCACAGCTCGCATCCCCCCAGGGAGCCGCGAGGTCTCAATTGGGTCCCTGTGCAACTCCACTACGCGCGACCTCCCAGGAACCCACGACAGCGGGGACAGCTTTGCATTTCGAGGCCCCCAACGGAGCCGCGAAGGGGTCCCCGTACAACTCCACCTCTTGCGACCTCCCAGGAGCCCACGGACGCGACGACAGTTTCACATGTCGCATCCCCCCCAGGGAGACGCGAGGTTTCTACTGGGTCCCCGCGACCTCCCAGGAGCCCACGAAGTTGGCGACAGCTTTACATATCGCAGCCCCCCATGGAGCCACGAGGTTTCAACTTGTCCCCGTATAAGTCCCATCCGCGAGACCTGCCAGGAGCCCTCGAAAAGGATGACAATTTTGCACTTCGCAGCCCGCCGGAGAGCCGCGCAGTTTCAAGCGGGTCCTCGTGCAATTCCACCCCGCGCGACTTCCCAGGAACCAGCGAAAGTGGCGACAGCTTCACACTGGCCCCGCCTCCCAGGAGCCCACGACAGAGGCAGAGGGCAGGAGAGAGGATATAGGAGGCAGGAGCGGTGAGGAGGGGGGAGCAGGAGAAGATGCGACCGCTGTGCTTTATTTACAACGCGAGCCCAACACAGGAGGATTGGGCACTGCAATGGAATCAGAAAACTTTTTGGTTATTCAAGATATCGTTGTTTCGCTTTCGATATGGATTACTGGTGGCCCGAGCCTGCTCCACGAGGAGCCCCAGAAGGCCGCAAAACGGCCCCAGTAGCGTCCCAGAGTCTCACATGACGGCCCCAAAGACCTCGCAGATGGCCCCCAAGCCGGCTTCTGAAAGCGTCGAACGGGCCAGCGTTCCAGAAGAGCACGAGGGCGTCCCAAGACGGTCCACCAGGGCCCCCCAGGACCCGTCAAGATGGCCCCGAGACGGCTAAAGATGGTTTGAAATTGGCCGGACAGGCCCAGCATGACCTCCAGACGGCCAATACAGTTCAAGATGACCCCCAGACGGCCCAAGCCCCCGGGGAAGCCCAATTCCTTCGGTTCGGCCTCCGATGGATCTTCAGGCAGAAGTTTCTCGAGGCCACGAGATATGTCTTGCACTTAAGGCGCTCTAAGTGCAGCGTCTTTTCCTGATTCCGATCGCCGTCCAGATTCATACGCGTCATCAGGCGAAAGCCTCTTGAGACCCAAAACACGGCTGTACCTAAGGCTGTCTAAGCACAGCAGCTTTCCACCCCCCCCAGGTCGCATGGTCGTCCGGCCTCCTACAATTCTTGACGCACGCGCATTTGGAGTGCCATAGCATGTCGGAGCAAGCGTGCAAAGATGCTCTGAAATCCTTGTGGGAGACGATTCGCGTGAAGTGACTGCCGAATCAAACCGGATGTCCCCCACGAGGCCGTAGGGGGAGCTCCCCGTGGGGCACGATCCATCTGAGGCATGCGTCGAAATGGGTGGGGGGACGCCATGCGAAGTTGCCCAGTTGGCCACAGGTAAGAGCTCTTTCTGGGGCACGATTCGCGTGAGGGTTTGCCGAATTGGGCGGGGGATGCTGTGCAAACCTTGTCTCTGGGGCCGAGGAGGGTCCAACCGCTCCAAAAGAGGCCCCTCACTACCACACTCGTCTCAAAGCGGTTGGTGTTGTTTCAGATTTTCAGTTTTCTGATTTTCTCCGACTAAATCGTGTTCTCGCTCTTCTGCCATGCTGCGAAGGAGGACCATATGTTGTTGTTGTTGATGATGATGATGACGATGTTGCTGATGCTGATGCTGCTGATGATCATGCCGATGCTGCTGATGGTGTTGTTGATGATTATGATCATGCTGAAGCGGAGGATGATGCTGATGATAACAATGATGTTGTTGATGTTGATGCTGATGCTGATGCTGATGCTGACGGCGGTGGTCATGGCGATGTTGCTGGTGATGGTGATGGTGTTGGTGCTGATGGTGATGGTGACGGTGATGGTGATTGTGATGGTAGTGATGCTGATGGAAATGATGATGCTTATGATGACTATGCCGGTGATGCTGTTGATGGTGATGGTGGTGGTGATGATGATGTTGCTGATGACGAGGCTTATTATGCTGATGATGAAGAACATGATTATTATCATGATGATGATGATGATGATGATGATGATGATGATGGTGGTGGTGGTAATGGTGATGGTGATGGTGATGGTGATGGTGATGGTGATGGTGATGGTGGTGGTGATGGTGATGGTGATGGTGATGATGATGATGATGAGGATGAGGATGAGGATGAGGATGAGGATGAGGATGAGGATGAGGATGAGGATGAGGATGATGGATGATGATGATGATGATGATGATGATGATGATGATGATGATGATGGTGATGGTGATGGTGATGGTGATGGTGATGGTGATGGTGATGGTGATGGTGATGGTGGTGATGATGATGATGATGAGGAGGAGGAGGAACAAGTGGAGGGATTGCAAGTGGAGATGGACAAGGAAAATGATAGTGATGATGATGAGAATGATGATCATGTACATGACCCCCACCGCCTGGTTCCCGCTCGGGGCAGCCGCCCTGCGCCCGGCCCGAGGCCTCGGAAGCGGCGGAGGCTCCCCGCCCCCTTCTGCGCCCGGGGCCCTCGCCCCCCTCTGCCTGGCGGCCGCGGCGGCCACGGCCGTGGCGGCAACGACGGCGGCGCCGGCGGCGGCCACGTCGACGGCCGTAGCGGCCACGGCCACGGCCGCCGCGGCGACGGCGGCGGCCACGGCGATGGCCATGGCGACGGCGGTTGCTTTGACAGCGACGGCTGCGGCGGCGACGTCGGTCGCCCCGTCCTCGTGCCAGGAGGTTTTGCCCGGCGTCTCAGGTGGTTTCCGTCGCCACTGCCGGGCGCGCCTCGAGGAGTTGAGCAGGCTCCACATCCTCCCCATTCTCCTCCTGGACCCAGGATGGGTCCTAGAGTGCATCCATGGGAAGCTAATGTGTACAATCATTGCGGTCTTCGGATGTTTTTGGCATCCAGATAGCGCCGCGCCGCCGTCCAGACCGCCGAAGACCGCCGAAAGACCGCCGAAAACCGCCGAAATACCGCCGCAATACCGCCGAAGACTGTGTCGGGCCCCAATGCCCGCGGCGGGGCGCGCGCCCACCGGCGGTTTTCGGCGGTCTTTTGGCGGTGTTCAGAGGCCAAGGTGCGTGGCGAGGGGTCCGTGATCGAACATGTAACCCAGGGAGGGCCGCCGTCGTCTCTTTGCGGGCCCCCCCGTGATCCGTCCCGCGCCCGGCGGGTGGAGCAGTGGCGAAGCGTCCGGGCCTGCCGACAGTCGGGGGCGGCCATAGGTGGGGTGTTCAGCAGGGAGGAGGGGTATCATGGCGGGGGCCATGATGTCTCCCCAGATTTCATGGCGCCTCTTGTTATTTCTGTACGTCCGCGGCCCCCCACTGGGCCGCGCACGTGCCGCCCGCCATGATTTACGCCCCCCCCCCCCTCCTCCTCGGACACCCTATTCTTGGACGCCTCCGACTATAGGCCGACCAGGAGGTGTTCTAAGAATTTTGTCTGGTTTGCACGAGACGTGGTTCATAGAACGCTTCTGGCTGGGACTGTCTCATTTTGCTGCATCGGGCTTTCTGTTCTGAGAACACGGCTTTCGCTCTTAAGAAATATTACTTGGCTCTGAGAGCGTGTCCTCGTAGGCTTCAGTCGGGCCGTCGGGCCCATCCCTTTACAGGAGGAATATTCAGAAATCGTTCAACAAGAGTCTGGGGACTATCTTTTAAGCGTTTGGTGACCATGTTGGGGGTATGCTGTAGTATGTTTCATGATTCGCCCAAAATCCTCCTGTAGGGGGACAGGCCCTACTTCATCGTAGGCCTATTGGCATGCCCGGGCGGTCGGTCCGTGCTGACGCGGGGAAGCCGCGCCCCCCTCCGCAGACCGGCGGGGTCAGCGCCGGCGACCTCGCCGAGCAGTGCGCCGCCGCGGCGGACCTCGCCGCCAGCGTGCTCGCCACGCACGCGGTGGGGGGCGCCCCGCCCGCCAGCCGCCGCCGCGCCTTCGCCGCCGCCGGCAGGGCGAGGGTCGGGCTTCGGACGCCCTCGGTGGTGCTCTCGGCGGCCTGCCCGCCCCTCGGCGGCGGGCGAGCGGTGGGGTGGGGGGGTGGGCCTTCCTCCCCTCCTTCCTCCCCTCAGGTCAGTGAGACGGGCCTTCCTCCGCCCCCTCCTCTTCGGCGGCCAACGGCCGCCGCGCTGCGCTGCAGGGCGCTGACCCTCATGGCGCGTCAAATATCGGGAAATAGCGGGAGGAGGCCTCCTCTCGGAAGGCGGCGGGGCTTCTCGGGAGCCCCCTTCGCCCCTCGGGAGAAGTCGGCCCGCGTCTCCGGGGGGAGGCTTCGGAGACGCCTCTAGAAGGCCAGGGGACTCTCGAGCCGTCTGGGAGGGCCCGCCCCCTCGCACTTGCCACCCCCCAGCTCGCTCCCTCGAGCCTTGGGATGCCCGCCGGCCGCTGCGCCTCGCCGAGGGCGGTCTGGCGGTGCCCAGATCGTCCCGAACGGCCGCTGGGGGCCCGAGTCAGTTGTAGGTCGGGCGCGTCCCTCTACGGGCAGAAGATTCGCAGAGGTAGTCAACAAATAATAGTCTGAGGGCGATGCTCTGTGTTTCGTTTGACTATTTCCGGGCACGGTTTGACTCCTCCTAATTTTTCGCCAGGAGTCCGCCTGTAGGGGGACGTGCCCGACCTCAAGGTAGTTGGGGCCCGGACGACGGGGTGGGGCGGCCCGCGGCCGCTGTGCGGGGCAGCCCGCCGCCGCTGGCGACGTCGCGGTCGTCGTCCTCGTCGCAGGCGTCGTCGCCCTCGTCGGCGCCGTTCGCCGTCGGCGCCGTCTGCGTGGCAGTGCCGATGGCACGGCCGTGCGGGCAGCGGCGATACTCGGAGAGTGATAGACCTCCTACCCTGACACGTCGATTAGTGAATTGGCCGTTTTCGGTTCGCTGGAGGGCGTCGCGGCCGTCATTTTTGCGGGTCCAGGCCCGTCGATTGTTGTCCCAGGCCGTTTTTCTTAAAGGGTGGTTTCCTAAAGGGAGGTTCGTCCACCGCCGAGATATCGTACATGCGCGCCGTACCTTCGGGAGTCCTTGTCCGTCCTGCAGATTGCGGTCTCCGCCTGCACCCAACGCTGGTCTGACGTGGCTTCGACTTGCACTCCACGCGGACCCGGTGTGGATTCGGCGCGGATGTAGTTGGCGCGATAGGGGCAGGCGCGCGATGGTGCAACGCAATCAGCACGTAACGTGTTTTTGTGTCGTGTTGGCATCGGGGAAAGGGCAAACCCAGACGGGGGCGGCCCTCCCTGAGCCTCCTGGAGGAGTTTCGCCGCCCGATCAGAGCACCCCCGCCCACGCGGGGCGGGAGAGGCCAGGCCGAGTCCTCCTCCTCCTGCTCCTCCTCGTCGTCGTCCTCCTCCTCCTCCCCCTCTCCTTCTCCTCCTTCTCCTCCTCCTCCTCCTCCTCCGCCTCCTCCTGTGTTGGAGTAGGAGTTCGACCACGCGAAGACTTCCGCCAGAAACCCAACCCTGATGCCACAGCATGTACATTGATGTTGTTGGTATGGGGGCGGCACGTTTTTCCATCGTATAGCTATCGAAACCTAAGAATCCCAGGGCACCCTGGAGGCAAAGCAGGGTGTTTCTTGTCATGGGTTTCCGCGGTACTTGCAGTCGAAATCGAGGCTATTGATTGGCAACCTTCCCAAGCCAGGTCAGGAGCGGAAGAAGGATGCACACGTACTTGAACCCACGCCAATGTCGAAAGTACGCATTGCGCGAACGTTCGTGTCACGAGTCTGGTCTCGCGGACTGGTGAGCTGTATTCATGTACGTGGTTGGGCGCGTACGTTCTTTGTGGGCTCCCCATCCTCGCGTCTTTGGTCCCTCCTTGGCAGCTTTCGCTGGCTAGCCCCATTTGGCAAACGCCAACACGGCCTTCCAAGGTCCTTGCATCCTTACCGCGAACCCGTCTCATGTGGCTTGACTGTATCTCATGCTGCATCTCTACCAGGCCGCCTCCCGACAAAACCATCCCCGTACACACGGAGCGGGAGGCAGGGCTCGTTTCGATTCCTCCGATTCGATTCGATTCGACTTCAGTGGTTTCGGATTCCAATTCGATTCGGCTTCGGATTCCGATTTGGCCTTCGGATTCTCATTGGAGGCTTACTAGCCTGCCGATTTCCGCCGATTCGACTTTTCTGGGCTCAGCTGCCGATTGTACTGGCCTCCCGCCAGTGCCGCCGATCTGGGGCGCTTTTGATGCTATTGTTGGGATGGACGGTGACGACGACAACGGACGTCCAACGGTCGACGAGTGGGATCATTACGACGACGACCGACGAACGGGTTGTTAACGACGACGGTTGACGACGACGATGATGACGACGACGACGGGGGAAAAAGGAGGACGAGGAGGAGGAGGATGACGAGGAAGAGGATGATGATGATGAGGAGGAGGAGGAGGAGGTCAGGGCGCTGTAGACCAGATTCTCAAGGACTGGGAAGTTTTTTGGTGCCCCCCTGCACGTGACCACGAACAGCATCCGAGTTTGTGGGAAGCCGAATGGGCACTTCGGGACATATCTGCTGAGGATATTTACAGTGTGCTTCATTGTTTCCCTCCTGGTACAGCGTTGGGTTGGGAAGCATTGCATCCACGGCCGTTGCGGTTTGCCAGCAGAGAGTCGGTGGACCGACTGGCGTGCATTCTCTCGGCCTGGAAAAAGCACCATCTTGTGACATCCTGCTCACTGTCATCATTGTGTTACTTCCCAAGCCCGCGGGAGGAGTCCGCCCCATTGGGCTCCTCAGTTCAGTTGCCCGTATTTGGAGCAGGGTGCGTCAGAGAGAAGTCCGTCGGTGGGAGAAGCAGGTCGACAATTCCTCGTTCTGGGAAAAGAGTTCTTCTACTTCGGCGGAGAGGGCCAGTTATATTCATAACCTTCTCGTATGCCATGCTCGTCGTAAAAGGTTTGTATCCATTTCCGTGTTTTTCGACATTGCGAAATTCTACGAGAATATCTCGCACGAAGAGCTTCGACGTACAGGGGCCCACTTCGGATTCGACCTCGGGCTCCTCAAGGCCCTCTGCACACTCTACAGGTCCCCGAGGCATGCCAGATGGGGGGTCAGTACGAGTGAGCAGACCACGGCGAACGGCACGGTCATAGCGGGATGTTCGTGCGCGACGGGGGTCTCCAAGTTGATGTTCCATTCGGTCTTGGGCAGTCTGGCTCGGGAGGCCCCACCCTGTAGGACGGCCAACGTGATCGACGACCTGACGGGCCACATCATTGGGGGTCCAGAGACGGCGGTCAAAGCTGCAGGTCAGGTTTGCGTTCTGGTACAACAGGGTATGTAGGAGGTCAAGTTGCTTATTTCTTGGGATAAATGTTTTTTTGGCTCTGCTCGGAGCCGAACTTGGTTCAGAAAGTCTTGGGGTCGGAGGGCTTCTGTCTTGGGATGGACAAGTGCGTCTTGGCTCACAGGGACCTCGGAGGGGACTCGAACAGCGGTCAGCGGCGGCGGCTTGGGACTCAACTCGCCAGAGCTCAGGAGGCCAAGAAGATGGGTGCCCGTCTGTCTATGTTTGGCTCAGGTTCTATTGTGTCCAGAATCTTCAGAGCGGCACCCCTCGCCAAGTCCATCTGGGGCACGGCAAACCTCGGCATTTCCGATACTTCATTGCGACAGCTTCGTGTTAGTGCAGCTCGAGCGGTTGGAGGAGTTCCTCGAGGGGCCAGCATCGGGCTTCGTTTCTTGGGATACCCATCGGCGTGGCGCAGATATCCGATTGTGGTCACGGCGGCGTTGTGCATTCGGGAGTTCGTGCACGTGGTTTGGCACAAGTCAGTGTCGAACGATGTTCTTCAGAGCGGCTTCGAGGACGCTCAACGCATTCTCACTCTGGCCAGGCCGTGGGCGGCGGTGAAGCAACTGGTGGCGGCGTTGGTGCTCACATTTCGTCGCCTAGGCTGGGCCCTCGACACGGAGACGGGGTCCTTCCGCGATGATGTCGGCAGGGTTTTTGGCTTTTTCGGAAGTTCTCGCCAACGTTCTTTGCACATTTGATTCAAGCTGGGGCCAGGAGGGCAATCGAGTGGGATGAGCAGGCCAGGCAATCTGTTTTCAAGTCCTGGAAGGGGCCGATCTTCTGGGCTCCACTGTATGAGTTGCCCTGCCAGAAGAATGTTCCAGGTTGGCATGACCATCAGAAAAGTTGTCTGAAGGCGATGATTGCTAATAATGTGTACTGGAGTCAGGGGAGGAACAACTCACATGCCAAGGAAGTTTCATGTTTGTGTGTGCTATGTCAGGGCGAGCCTGGCACTACTTTCCATCGTCGTTTCGAATGTCCAGCTCATGCAGTGTGGAGGCGTGAGGATCTAGATGGCTGGGTTCGGACTGCAGCAGGACGAATATCCACGTTGTCTCTGGAGGGCCAGGAGCTTTTTCTGCAGCGGCCTCTTTCCAGATCCTGGGAGGTTCATTTCTCGGCCCGAGAGGTGCGCCTAGGACCCCTACACGCAGAGGGTCAACTGGCCACGGGAGGGCATCGTGATTCAGGCCGATCAGCATGTGTATACTGGCGGATCTGGGTATGAGATGTTTTGGCCCTCTTTGAGGGTGGCAGGATGGTCTGTTGTTTTCTCTGACTACAACGGGGAAGTGGTCTCGGCTCTTTACGGTGTGGTGCCGATTACGGGGGCGCCAGACCAGATTGCGCGGGGCGGTGAAGACTACGCGGTTCTGGTGTTGCCGAGGAGTGCGGCAGTTGCCCCAGGAGCCTCAATGCACATTGGCTGTTCGGGCTGTCTGGGTTGTTCTCGGCTCTTCCGTAGCTCGGCTGTCTTGGGCCAGGGAGCTGAGGGCCCATTGGTGGAGTGAGATTGGTGATCGGCTCCAGGGTGCCTGCTTTGCCAAAGTGAAGTCGCACATGCCCTACTCGGCGGCGCGTGAAGGTAAGACCTGCCACAGAGACTGGAGAGGAAACCAGGAGGCGGATCGTCTTGCCAAGGAGGGTGCTGCACCGTTTCGAGCAGCAGATGAGGACCTGCTACTGTTGGGTGGTTTGCATGAGATTGCGAAGAGAATCGCCAGGTTTGGCGCGTTACAGCAGGCCGTGTTGTCCCATGATGAGAACAGGGATCACGTGGGCTTCGAGTGGATGAGTAAAATCGATGTGGTGCCCTTGGAAGGCCCCCCTATTCCTGCCTGCTGTGCCCATGGAACTCCCGAGGAGAAGGACCCCGAAGTATGGGAGCCAGATGAGTTTGTCTCGGAGTCTTGGGCTTGGGATAGGGACTACATTCGCAAGGCGGCTGTTCTTGAGGACGGAGTTCAGGTCGACTCGATGATCTTCTGCACGAGTTGTGGAAGCTATGTTTCTTGGGCGCACAGGGCTCACTGTAAGTCCAGATGTAAGTTGCGTTCAAATTGTTGTCCCAGGAAGGTTACGGGTACTCCGAATCTGGGGAGGATCGAGAAAGGTTTGCACCCGTTGACGTCCACCAGCCTCAAGGTTCAGGAGGTTGGCGGTCTGAATTAGATCGAGAAGGACCTACGGCGGCCCTTCCTTGAGGACTCGGGCGAGTCCAGGAGGAGTGAGGGCCCTGCCGCCGCTCGCCTGTCGAATTCGAGGTTTCGAATGAGGAGCGTGGCCCCTGGGATCGACTTGGTCCCCGGTCTGGCCCTTTTTTGGCCTGTCGAGGGATGAAGCGATTTCCATGAGCCGTTTGGCCCGCGAGCGGGCCCGCTCCCGTTCCGCGGAGGAGGATGAGCTCCTCCCCGATGGGCATTGACGGCCCGCGCCCGTTTTGGCGCTGCCCGTCGCCCCCCTCGCGGCCTGGGCCCTTTCCCCCCCTCTTTGCATGCGAATGTGGTAGCACCTTTTCCAGCTGTAGAGCTAGCGAGGAGGAGAGGAGGAGGAGGAAGAGGAGGTTGATGATGATGATGATGATGATGACGATGACGGTGACGTTTAAGATTATGTAGTGGCCTTCGGCCAATGCCGCCACCGTGCCTGAGTGGTGTCGGAGGGCTCTTCAGTGTTCGTTGGGATCTCGTGGTAGGTCTCTCGGGTGCCTCATGGGTACACTTTCGAGGCATCCTGGGAGCTGTTGTGGGGACCCTCGGGGCCTCTTTTGGGCCTCTTGGGGGCCTCCTCTGGGCCTCTTCAGTCCTGCTAGGGGCCTCTTGGGACCTCTTGGAACCTCTTGGGACCATCTTGGGGGCCTCTTGCGGCCTCTTGGGGGCTTTGGGAGGCCGAGGGCTCGAAATTTCCGTTGGGGTTCCCCGTCTGGTTCCCCTCTTGGAGCCGTCTTGATCGCCTCTGGGGCCGTCTTGGGCGTATCTTGGGCAGTCTTGTGGCTCTCTTGGGCCGTCTTGGAGCCATTTGGGGAGCATCTTGGGCCGTTTTGGAAGCTTCTGGGGCCGTCTTGGAACGTCGGGAAGCGAAAAGGCAGGAAGACCAGAATCTTTCCAAAAACGTAGGAAAATTAATGATTGTGGCCTCGAAGGGTCTTCTTCTTCTGAGGGCTCTAAGAGGCTTCTTGGAGCGTCTCGGCGGCCTCTTGGGCCACTGGAGGTCATCTTCGGCGTCTTGGAGCGCTCTTCGGGTGTCTCTGAAGCTTCTGGGGCCGTCTTGGGGGGTCTTGGGGCCCTCTTGGCCCGTCTTGGGGCCCTCGTGAGCCCGGAAAAGCCCCCCCTGGAAAGCGGACCACGATTCGTCCCCCCCCTCCCCCCCTTCCCCTGCAGAACCACCCGGCCCCCCCCCCCAGCAGAGCTGAAACTCAGGCTCTAGGCTGTAGGCTGTAGCTGAAACCGTTTCAAACTCACATGCCGATTCGGCGGATTTCCGCCGCTCCGATCTTTGTCGATCGCCGATCCGGCTTCTCGATTCGATTCTGGGCTCTCCTCTTCCCCGGACCTCACCTCGCCCAGGGGCGCGCCCCGCGCAGGCGAGCTCCGCCGCCCCGGCGCCGGCGGAGCCCCTGGAGGACGCGGCCGGGGAGGCGCCCCCGAAGGCGCCGCAGGCTCTGCGCACGCGCGCGCCCCCCCTCACCACCTCCTCCCCTCCTCCTTTCCTCTTCCCCCTCCCTCTTCCCCATCTCTCCCCTCCCCCCCTCTTCCACCTCCTCCCCCCTCCCCCTCTCTTCCCCTCCCCTTCCCCCTCCTCCATCTCTTCCGCCTCCTTCGCCCTCGCCCCTCTTTTTCCTCGTCCTCTTCCCCCCGCTGTCCCCCCCTCTTCCGTCTGCTCCCCCCCTTCCGTTTGCTCTTCCCGTCCCCCTCGTTGCCGCCGCCCTGGCCTCCTGCTCCCTGCCGTTCCTGCGGACGCTGCTCGCCCTCCCCGGCGGTGTTCCCCCTTCCACCTCGCCGGCGGCGTTCCCCGCCCTGCGCCGTGGAGCTGGCCCGCGCGGGCGCGCCGAGATGGCCTGGTCGGGTCGGACGCAAAAAAAAAATGAAAGAGCGCGCTCGTGGCGCACTTCTCATTTGAAGGAGTTTCACAGCTTCAAGCACCCCCCCCTCCTCATTTGGAAAAGGGGGGGACGGGTTCCGAAACTTCCCCCCTCTCTTTTTTGGGGGGGGCATATTTTTAAGCTGGGGGGCACCCTAGCTGGAGGGGGGCGCTTGAAAGCTTCCCCCCCTCCCTTCTTTTCAGCGCCCAAAATCAGCCCGGGCTCCCCTTTCAAAAGGGTGGTGCAGGGGGGGGGCTTCCGAAATTCCCCCCCCTTCCTTTTGTTTGGATGGTGTAGTTGGGGGCTCCCTGGCTAACGGAGGGGGGGCCTTGAAGCAACCGCCCGAAAAAGAGTTTCCTTTTTGGGGGGGCCCGGAGTAAGCCCGGGCTCCCTTTTCGGGGGGGGGGTCCGAAGCTCCCCTTTCGGGGGGGTGTACCTTGCCTTCAATTTGCTCTCGAGTGTGCCCCAGTCATGCGCCACCGCCTTGGCCAATCGGGGTTCCTCTTCAGCAGCAGTCTCGAATTGACTTTGCATGCGCACCTAAGAGAATTATGTGATCAACGTCGGCGAAAAGAGTTGGCTCCTGCTTGCCCTCCTGCCAGACTGCGGGCGCCCGAATGCCATCCTTTGCTAGGGCCATTTACTTCGAGAGGAAACTCTTTCTGGTTAATCTCGATGCCTGCCAGCGCGTGTGTGAGGCCTTGGGTCATAGTCTCGAACTGGTCGATTCCTCGAGCTAAAATGATGAAGCTGTCCGCCCAGATCAAATGGTCCAGGGCCCTCCTGGGGCTGTTGGACCTGCGCGTGGGGCAGTTTATGGTGTTCGTTGGGCTACCGTGCAGGCAATGATCGCATTACTCCTGAAGTGTCGACTGCGGGGGCAACGGCAGCGGCGCCAATGGCATGACGACGGATGTTCGATGCAAGCTCCCGACGTGCGTTGCCGCCTCTCGACGACGATGGACACAGTGACGATGACCACGACGACCACGACGTTGACCATTACGACCATGACCACCACGACGACAACGACGACGACTATGACGACCACGATGGCGACGACAACGACGGCGACGATCACGACGACCACGATGACCACGACGACGGTCACCACCACAACGACCATGACGACGGCGACGACGACGACAACTATCCTCACCACGATAACCACGACGTCCACGACGACGACGGCGGCGGCGACGACGACCACCACGACAGTGGCCGCCGCCGACGCCAGGCGCCTTCGGCGGCGGACGCCATAGCTGCCTTCATGGCGGACGCCCCCGCGGAGGCGGCCGCGCCGCCGTCGCGCAAGGCGGGCGCCGCCCGCCGCCGCCGCCGCCCGCGCGGGGTGGTGGAGCCGCCCCGAGTTTGTGTTTCGGGGGCTTGACGGCGGTCGCGGCGGCGGCTGTGAGGGCGACGACACGGCCGCGCGGCGTGGCAGCTCCAGGGGTCGACCGTTTTTTTCGTTTCGATGTCGTTTAGCAGCAAAGGCAGATTGAAGACAAAACGAGGGAAAACGAACACAACACCGAAAACGAAAAACTTTGTCTAAGGCGATCCCCGGGCAGCTCCTACCCACCGGCGGCGGCAACGGCGCCGACGAGTTTGAGCAGGTTTTCATTCGGGTGCCGAGGTCGGCCGCGGCTGCGGCGGTGGCGCTGGCGATGAGGACGGCGGCGGCGGCGGCGTCGACGGCGGCGGTCGACGGCGACGCGACGGCAGCGAGGCCGTCGCCGACGTCTTCCCTTCGTAGGTCTTTTGGGGCAGGCCGCCATCGTGGCTCTTGTCTTCCTCTTCCTCGTTGGCAGCCACTCCGCTACGCATTGCATTCGAAGAAGAAGGAAACGCCGTAAACATAAACTTTCGACGCTCCGCGCGGATTTCTTGGATCGGCCCTGGGCCCCCCCCTGGCGGCGCTTCTGGCGCCACCCCAGGTGGGTCCAGCGCAAGTCCACGGAAACCGCGCGGAGCGCCAAAAGTTTATATATTTACGCCGGTGCCATCCGCGCGCCAGATGGGGTATGGCTCCGGGACTCGACTCGTCAGCGAGGCGTGGCGCGGTTCAAGACAAATGCCAGGGTGGTCCTCGATGTTGGGCGGACTTTGGTCTCTGGGCGACGACGGAGGCGACGATGACGTGGCGGCGGCGACGGCAGCGGCGGCAAAGACGGCGGCGGTTCTGGGGGTCGTTCAGAGGTTTGTGGGATTTCAATGACTTTCAGGTCACGCAGGGTGAACGTCGTTGTCGCTTTCGTCGTCGTAGCCGCAAGGAGCCCACCCAGCTGCCAGGATGGAAATGAGAGAAAATCTTGAACAGCATAGCGGTGCGGAGGTTTTCAGATGACTTCTGGAAGAGTTCTGAGGCTCTCTGTTGTTCGACGTAGGTTCCGCCAGCCTTCTCTTGTCTTATGCATGTTGCCTCTCTTCTGTCTCTACCAGGTTCTGTATGTCTTGAGGGGGAGGGAATGGGGAGGGGGGAGAGGGCGGGATGGAGATCTGTGCAGGTGGAGGGAGAAAGGTCCAGGGAGGATTTTTCTTGTTGTTCGGATATGTTTGTAGTTTGCCGGCGGTGCTTGTTCAATGTTCTCTGAAGGTTTTCAGGCTCCAGTTGTTTGCGTTTGCGCCTTGTCGAGAAAAAGCCACGATGGGCATTTTGCATAGTTTCGGGCCTAAGGACCCTCATGGGTCGGTCCGACTCCAAGGGACGACGCAGTCGTTTTTTACAACGACGGGAGTAGGCCTCGCACAAGGAGAATTTGTTACGTAAGGGAAGCCCGGAAACCCGGGAGGCGAACCAGAGTCTGGGCGGCCCGAAAGGAAGATTGCAGAAGAGGGGAGGAACAAGGGAGGCGTGGCCGTCACCGTTCACCGCCTTTCGCGGCCGTCAGCGCGCACGAGGAGGAGGTGGCGAGGAAGAGGAGGAGGAGGAGGAGGAGGAGGAGAAGAGGGTGGTTCGATCCGGACACATGCCTCAGCATTGAGAGGCTGTTCGAAGGATCCAGGGCTACGGGGTTCTAGGGTGTCGGTCACGGGGCTCTGGCAGGGAGGAGCGAGGAGGAAGAGGGCAGTTGAGGAGGGAGAGGCGGAGGCTTTCCTGGTCCTTTCTTCCTTCTACAAAAAAGCACCTTTGAGCCGTCCTATCTTCCCTCCTCCTGGTGCTTCTCATTCGCGTCGACGACCGCGATCACGACCGCGAGCGAGGGGGGGCGGCTGGGGTGAGGGGGCGTTGGATCATGGAGGAGGAGGAGGGGTTCGGCTAGATTCGGCGATCGAGCGAGCGACCTTGAAGCTCACCTCGATGCCCTCGTTGGCCGTGCGCTGCAACCCGGGTCGTCACTGGGAACGAAAGACCACGGTCGGATCTTCAAAGTTCTTTTCGCACGAACTGATTTCAGCACCGCTGCTGATGAGAGGAACAATATGGGAGCTGATAAAATGTACCACAGCTTCGGAGGAGAAGTGGGCATGGAAGGAGGAAGGAGGGAGGAGGAAGGACAAGGATTCGGTATCCTGAGGCCGCGGAGGCCCGACACACCACCAACATGTCAAATTGCATTCCAGGATAGCCCAATCAGTTGCACGTGCGAAAAATGGAGGCAGCATGCTTGTGATGGGCGAGAGCAGAGGATGGCGAATGTGGTCCCGTTTCCTTTCCGCCATACTCTTCACGTTGCCGTTTCTACCCTCTGCTCTATGTAGCCTCTCTTTCTCGTTTTGCTTTGTTTATTTTCTTTTCTTTGCTTTGTTTTGTTATCTCTCTCTCTCTTTCTTCCTCTCGATACCTTCTACCAAATATATCCGATCATCTCTCTCTCTCTCTCTCTTTCGGCATTATGCTCTCTCAATTCTCCCTGCTATCTACCTCAAAGTTTACACACATACCATGTTTATCCCCAGACCACCTCTACTAAGCACCCGCTACTATGCAAGCAAGAACCTTGAAAGCTAGGAGCTTGGGAGCCCCGCCACCTACCTAACGCGGCGGCACATTTCTACCAACTCCTCGGCGCGGGAATGAGAACCCTTGAACAGGAACTTTGCATCCCGCCCGCAGACCGAAATTAGACCAGAACTTCGCCAACTTGTTACAACATCAGAAACACAGCGAGGAACCTGGCCGCCTACCGAGATCGGCCCGCCTCTATTGCCAAGTCTTGGCGTTTTCCGCGAGGACTCCGTTCCATGCGAGCACTGATTGGAAGACAAAATTGTTCTCGAATCTCAGGGCACAACAACGCTCGGTTGAGGGCGGGTTCGAAGGGTTCGCTATTGTTTCTGCTTGTTTGGAAGTTTGCTGCCACCGTGCACGGCCTCGGAGGCCAAGAAGCCAAGGAGGAACGTGCGCCCCTCAGCCCTCGAACCTCGCAGCCCAGAACGCCCAGGAACCAAAGAAACACTGCCGGCGAGTGCGCACGGGCGCTGCGGAGCTTCTCTCCCATCAGTTGCGAAGTTGGCGGTTTGTATTATCATCCTCGGTGCCGCCGGACATCGAGTCCAGAGAGCATTCAAAAACAGGGAGGAGACCGAACCTTCCGCCCCAGTGCGCCCACCCCCGCGGCGGCGGCGGCGCAGTCCGACAAGCCGCCGGTGCTCACCCCGCTGCTGATCGCGGGGGGCCCTGCGACGCCCAGAGGGCGCCCCGCCCCCGCGCCCCGCCTGCGTTTGCAGCAGGACGACGACGACCACACGCGCGGCAGTGACGACGGCGACGATGACAGCGGCGACAGCGGCGGGGACGGCTACCGCTACGGCGGCGACGACAACGACGACGACCACGACGATGGCGGCGGCGACGACGGCGACGGCGTCGGCGACGGCGACGGCGACGGCGACGGCGACGACGAAGACGGCGACGGCGGCTGCGATGGCGGTCACGGCCTCGGCGGCGGGGGCGTCGGCGGCGACGACGGCGGCGTCGGTGACGACGACGACGACGACGATTACAGCGGCGGCGGCAGAGGCGGCGACGGTGGCGACGGCGGCGTCTGCTGCGGTGTTGACGATGGCTCGTCGACGACGACGAAGGGACGGCGACGGTGTTCCTTCCATTATTGACCTGGCGAGCCGGGAGATTCTCATCTTCGTGCTTGCTCGCTCGTCCGCCGCGCTCCGGGGCGAGCGGACGGGGGGGGTGGGATGCGAAAATCAAAATTTCCAGGGCGGGGAGAAGAATCGGATCCGCGACCTCGTGCGAGCCCAACGTCCGCGGAGCCAACCGACTTCGGGCTATCGACCGGACACCCCTGCTGGGATATGCGCGTGGCTGCAGACGTATCGTTCGACGACTTCTGAACCCATGCCAGCGTTGCAGAAAGCTGGCCTGCAGGGATGGGATTCACAATCCGATCCAGAGCGTTCCGGAACGCTCTCAGAGCGTTCCGGAACGCTCTGAGAAGGCCGCGGCGCCCCCGAGATCGTCCAGAGACGCCGGATTTCAGTGAGATTTTCGATGGATCCTCACCCGGCTTTGTCCTCGTCCCGGCTTCGTCTCAAGCCAGCGCTTGATGGGCTTGTTTTCCACCACCACCACAAGTTGGAGGGGGGAAGGAGGAGGAGGAGGAGGAGGAGCAGGAGGACGAAGAGGAGGAGGAGGAGGAGGAGGACGAGGAGGAGGATTACGAGGATTACGATGATGCGCACCAGGGTGCGTGCCAGAGCGCAGGCGGCAGCGGCCGCGGGCGCAGGGTGGTGCGTAAACGCCACGGCCATGCCGTGGGGCCACCCTTGGAAATTATGGATAGCTCGCGGCAGGGGCAACGAGCGCAGCAGCGGCGGCTTGCTCCACGGCCATGCCGTGGGTCGCCGCTCGATTGTACGGAGTGAGGCCGTCGCGACCCGCACGGGCGCGCGTAAACAGGCCCTTATCAATATTTGCAAGATTATCCTTGCCCTTGCGGGTGAGACCACCGCAAGGGCTGGCGAAGTGCCTGGGGTCTTCAGTGGCAGTCTTGCCGCATTCGCGGCAGACATACAGGCTGTATTTTTGCATGTAGTGCAACTTGTGCGAGGCTTGCAACACGCGGCCACAGAGAGTGGCCGTCCCCTGTACTGGGACGACCTGATCGCTAGCGACAGGCTGCGGTGCCACAGGCTGGCACGGCAACGCACAGGCAGGGCGGATCTGTGCCTTATCTACAGTGGTTCCACAGCTCGAGCACCTGTACTTGCTCGCGTAGAGCACAAAGGCGTGAGGGCTAGCTAGCAAGGCGCGCTGCAACTGGGTGGCGCGCTGCCCCTTGGCTTGCGAGGGCCGCTCCGCAACCCACGGATCGACGGCCAGGGTATCAGCGAGCGCGCGACGGGCACGGCGCCTAATAAGAGCACACTGAGCGTCGTGCAAGTCGGTCGGGGGAGCGGCGCCAACTATGGCCGCGTCCCATGCGCGAAGGGCGGCTTCACCAGCCCAGGCGTCTGCACAGGCGTTGCCTAGAGTATGGGCGAAGGCAACAGGGTCACGCGAAACGTTGGCGGCGCCCTCGCTGTGTGAGGGCACCCACAGGACATGCACAGAGCCTGGGACTCTGTTCTGTACCGCACGGCCAATGCGCTGCCACAGATCTCGGTTGGCACCGTGGGGCTGCAGGTAGCGGCTCGACCTCCACCCGTCCAGAAGGGGCATGTTGTCAGTGACGTAGCGCAGGTCGCCAAACGAGTGCTCGAGGGCCAGTGCGAATGCTAGGAGCTCGGCACGCGTCACCGTTTGAAATGGGCCCTCCAAGCCCGGCAGGATACCTCCCCAGGGGACCCAGTCCCCAAAGCGAGGCTGCATGGCGATTACAGCGGCGCCCACCCTGCGGCGACGGGGGTCGGAACTGTACTGACCCCCCGAACCGTCGCCGTACAGGGTGAGGCGGCCATCCGAGTCTTCACACCCTTCCCAGTCCCGCCCAACCCAGCTCCACCCACCGTCCCCTCCCATATCTTGAAATGCAGGGTGCGTGTCCGCACGGGCGGCTAGGCCACGGAACCAGTATGCAGGATCAGCCTCAGCGCATGCAAGGGCTGAGGGGAGGAGGGCATCAGATTTCTCGTAGTCCTCATGGTCGCGGTTGCTGGGGCAAAGCCAGACCCGATGCATCAGGAGGAGGAGGAGGAGGAGGAGGAGGAGGAGGAGGAGGAGGAGGAGGAGGAGGACCCCCCCCTCCAACTTGTGGTGGTGGTGGTGGGAAGCACGCCCAGCAAGCGCTGCAGAGCTCCGGCCTGCAGGGCCCTGTGGGTCTCGCGCGCGGTGGCTCGCCGGAGGGTGCGCGCCTGCCCGCCTTGCGCCACGGCCGGGGCGGGCCGCCCCACTGGGCCAGGGCTCGGCGGGCAGGGCCCCGCGTCGGCGCGGCCCCGCCTGCGGTTCGAGTCGGGCCTGCCCTTCTGCAGGAGGATGTTTGAAGCATAGTCAAAAAGTTGTCGGGGGGCGACTTTTGTGACGCCTGTGCCTCAACAGGAGGAATCTTCAAGAATAGTCAAGACATGGTCTGGGAACGATTTTTGTTACCATTTTTTTGTGGGGGGGTCTGAGCATTCGCCCCACAAGCCGCCTGTAGGGGGGCATGCCCGACCTGACCCGTGTTCTGCCGGGCCGCGCCCCGCCGTGGGCTCGGGAGGCCACAGGTCAAGCAGTGGCGAAGCCTCCCGGCGTGCCTATAGCCCTACCAAACAATGTTCTAAGACCCTGTTGTGGTTTTCCACGAAATGTTCTTAGAACTTTTCTGGCTGGAACTGTTTGGTCTTAACGCATGAGGCTTATGTCCTAAGAACATTGTGTTTGTTCTTAGAACAGTGTTGGCTTCTAAGAACATTTCGTGGTAGGACTATCGGGATGCTGGGACGGTCGGTCCCTGTTCAAACAGGCAAGAGCCTCCAGAGGCGCGCCCAGGAGCCCAGGGCCTCGGGGCTGCTCTGCGCTCTGCCCCCTCGAGGGTTCGTCCTAGGTGGTCCTCCCAGAGTAGATAAGGTCGGAAGATCGCGCCGCATCGCCGATGCATCGCCGATGCGGCTCGATGTGCAGCCCGATTTGCTTCACGTCGACGTCGCCGAGGTCGACGATGCATCGCCGGTGCATGCGGCGCGGTCTTCCAAGCCCATCTACTCCGACCCCATCTAGGATCTAGGAGGCCCCTGCCTGTTCGTGCCGTTCTGGTCGTCCTCGTCGTTCTCGTCCTCGCCATGGTCCCTCGTAGCGGTCCTCGTCGTGGTGGTGGTTGTCGTCGTGGTATTACTCGACGTTGTCTTCTCGTCGTGCTCTTCGTCGTTGACGTCATCCTGGTCATCGTCGTGTTCGCGCTCGTCATGGGTCCTCGTCGTCGTCGTTCTGCTCGTCGCGGTCGTCGTCCAGGTCGTCGTCCAGAAACGTATGCGCCGAGCTCTTTGTCTCGAGATACATGACCGCAGGACTTCGATGGGACCTCCGGTCCGCCGTCGCCACCGTCGCCGCCGATGCCGTCTCCGCCGCCGCTGTCGACGCCGCCGTCGGCGCGCCGGCGCCTTTGCCGCCGTCGACACCGCCGTCGTCGATGCCCTCGTCGCCGCCGCCGCTGTCAAGGCCGCCGTCGCCGCCGTCCTCGTCGCCGTCGTCGTCACCTCCGCCGGCGCCGTCGTCGTCGGCCCGGAGAGACCGAGCGAGCGCGAGCGCGCGCGCGCGCACGCGAGGCTGGTCGACGGCGCGGCGCCGGCGAGCAGGCCGCTGCTCGACGGCGCTCCCGCGACCCCCGCGCTGACCGAGAGGCCGCCGGAGGGGGCGCCTGCGCGCACCCCGACCTCCTCGCGCCGTGAAGACAAGGCGAGGGTCGAGGTCCGAGGTGTGAGGATGCTCCTGAGGTCCCTCCTCCTTTTCCTCCTGCTCCTCCTCCTCCTCCTCCTCCTCCTGAGGTTCCTCCTGCCCTCCGTCCCCCCTTTCCGAGGTCTTAGGGTTTTCGTGCGTTCCCCCGGGGCTCTTGCAGCAGCCGCGCCTCGCCGAGGGGGTCTTGGGGGTGCCCGGATCGGCCCGCACGGCCGCCAGTTGCCCGAGCGGCATGGCCCGAGAGCCGAACACGCTCGCGCCGTGGCAAACTCACGGCGGGAGGTTTTTACAAATCTTCCCCCGCTGGGGGGCCTCACCTCTAGGCCTCCTAGATGGGGTCGGAGTAGATGGGGTCGGAGGATCGAGCTGCATCGCCGGTACATCGCCGATGCGGCTCGACGTGGGGGGGCCCGATTTGCTTCACGTCGACATCGCCGATGCAACGCCAACGTCGCCGATGCATCACCAGTGCATCGGCGATGCATCGCCGATGCATCGCCGATGTATCGGCGATGCGGCGCGATCCTCCGACCCCATCTACTCCGACCCCATCCAGGAGGCCTCTATTACCAGGCCCTAGGACCGCCAAGAAACGACCAACCAAAACGACCTGGTATGAGGAGCCCGCCCCGAGGAGAAAGTCTGAACACCTGGAATAATGTCGTGGTGAAATCGTAACATCGAGGGTCTGGGTAACAGTGACCCCTCGCCATAGTGGCCTTGGGTGCGGGCCCTCAGGGGTCCTCGGATGCGCTTGAGAGTGACCCTTCGTCGGAATGACCGTATGGTGTGGGCCCACATCACTATTGCCAAGTGCCCAGGGCCACTTCTTGCGCGTACCGGACTCATACAGGCGAGTTCTTCTCTCTTCGTGCAGGTCGGAGCAAATAAAATATCATAACATAACATTGCATAACCATTTTTGTCCCTGAGGTCCGCGCGGATTTCATGGGTCCGATGCCGCCCCTTAAAGCGATCCCAGTGCAGAGTCGAGAAATCAGCACAGACTTCCCGAGAAGCGATGTTCACGGCAGTTCTTTTCTTCCTCGAGAGATGATTCTTGGCCACCAGTTGGCCGCTCCAGAGGGCTGGTGAGATGTTTCTCCCGGCGGGGAATACGAACCGCCCCTCCTCCTTCTGCTCCTCCTCCTCTTCTTCCTCTTCCTCCCATCCTCCTCCTCCTCCTTCTGCTCCTCCTCCTCCTCCTCCTCTTCCACCCCCCCCACTCCTCAGGCCCTCAGAACCCGCAGATGCGTGTGTAAACAGGGCCCGTATGCCCTCGCGGTGGAGGCCCCCATGGACCTCCATTGCCTGTTCTGGATCGATTTGGACTCGGCGAATGAAGGCTTTGTCTGTAATGCGCCGCCTGGCTCGAAGCACACCGCACCTTCGAGACTCTGGCGGAGCTCCAGAGACACATCAGAGAAGTACACGCTCCGCCTGCACCAGACCTGGTATCCGACGAGCGGGATGGACCTGGCCAACCGCGCCCTCAGCGCGGCCGCTTCAGAGCGAGGTCGCGCCTTGCGCTCGCGAAGCGGCGACAGGCGGCGCCGAGGCGACGGGAGCAGCCCCCTCTTCTCCCGTCTTCGATGACGCCGTCGAGACGTCCTCGTTCTCGTCTCTCCTCCTCCTCCTCTGCCCTTGATGACGCAACGCATCGTTTAATCCATGGGACTCGGGGCCGACCTGGGGCCCAGTCACTGTTTCCTCGCGCTGCGTTGTGCTTTGACATGTTGTGTCTGTGTTGGTCCGTTTCGTTCCTGGAGCCCGCCTCTGGGAATTGAGGGGTCCCAGTTTAGTTGTGTCAGGTGCGCGGCGTGGCCCAGCCCCAGGGATGCCTCCGTTCTGGGCTAGCTGTGGCGCGCCAGAGCCCCCCCCCCCCCGCACCGTGTGACTGCGCCGCTGACATAGCGCACTCCAGGCACTTGAGCTGAATCTCTGGTGTTAGATACTCGTGTACCTGCAGAGCTCCGCCGCCGCCCTGCTCCGTTTTCCTCCTCTTTATCCTTATCCTCTTCTTCCACACCCTCTTCCCCCTCCTCCTCCTGATCGTCCTGCCCCAGCTTCTCCTGCTCCTCCGCGCAGTCGTTATCGTAGTCATCTTCGTCGTTGTTGCGATGGAAAGTGATGTTCTCTCTATGCTTGGGTGGGCTGACTAATGTTGGTGCCCCCTTCCCTTCAAAAAATTATGAAGTGGGGGTGTCTGTGCACGTGGCAGGATTTGCGAGCAGGTTCACACGAGGATGACAATGGAAATCAGCGGTTGTGATTGCAATCCTGATTGTAGTCGTGGTTGCACTCGTCATTGCAATCGCGGTTGTAGTCCCAATATGAATTCTAGTCGTGGTTGTAGTCGCAATGCTCGTCTTAATCGTCGTCGTCGTCGCGGCGGATCAGATTGTCCTCTAGTGCTGGGCGGGCTGGATAATGTTGGGGTTGTCCTCCTCCCAGGAAATAATCCATTGCGGTTTGCCCTACACGCGAAAGCATTGGAATTGCAATCGAAATCCGTGTATGTGTCTGCAGCTGTGATGGTAGTCGTGGTTGCAATCGTGGTTGCAACCATGATTGCAATCGTGATTGAAAGCGTCATCGTAGCCGACGATGTCCGGCGATGTAGTCGTAGTCGTAGTCGTAGTCGTCGTCGTCGCCGTCGTTGCCCATGTTGTGCGGCGGGTGCCGCGCAGCGCAGATAGCTATTGCCCACTATCTGTGGGACCCCAGTCCGCCAATATGCTCGTCGAAACGATAATTGTCTTCGGGGGGGTTAAGACCTTTCGCAGTTAGGGTTGCCCCTCTTCAGAGCTATCGCGGTTGGGGGCGATGACGTTGTGGATCGAGACCGTGTGCGCGGCATTTCTCGTGTTAAGTCCATTCTTTTGCGTTTGTAGCTTAGAGAGACGTGCAGACATCGAATTCACGAACAAGCCGCGTGCCGCGTTCTATTTTTGGCGTGGCGTTGCACGCACGGGCATTGCATGTTCGATGCTTGCTCTGTTTTGCCAGCGTCGTGGGGAAGTCGGAGCAGTGACGCCATACCGCCAGAGTGAAGAGGCAGCTCGTCATCAACGCCCCGGCCTCCATGGGCGCAGTAGTCACTGGCGGCATGGACGAGGAGCATATCGTTATTCCTCTTCGTCCTTCTCTTTCTTGCCATCCCCATTCCGAACGCCGAGCTTACTCAGCCAGGTGTTGTCAGGCACCGTCTATTTTGTGAGCGTCGATTGGATGTGGTGCGCTGGCGGTGGCGTCGTGGCTCCGTGCACGGGGAGGAACAGTTTTGGGCGAGCCCGCAATGGAGTCGCGTGACACATGTGCCTCCTGACGCATGGGGAGCAGGGGGAGGAACACATGCAGGAGGAAGAAGGCGCCTCAGACGAAGGAAATCGATAGGGATGATCTCAGCGACGACGCCCTCTCCCATGATATAGGAAAATGCAACAGAGCTGCAGTCCGCTCACATGCAACGGGTGCAACAAGAGGGTGTCTTGACCGTGCCTCCGCCACCGCGCTCGATACCGTCACTGTCTGACTGGCACGAGATCGGTTGACACTGGGTCTCAGTTTCCTATGCCTTTCGCCATCCGCTTATCCCTACACATCTTTATCCTTCCCCTCGTCATTATATTGCTGTCCTTATCTGCTGTCTGTTTCGCCTTCTCGTCCTGATCATACGGGTTTGGCTTGGGCGCCAGGGCCGCACCAGGGGGCAGGAGGCGGGGCGCCGCGGCCCCAGAAGTCTGCAGCGTTGGCGGTTCCCGAGGAGGTGACGGCCCTCGACGCAGGAATGGTACGGTGCACAGTTTTCCGGCCCTCAGGGAGGAACATCCACGCGCCATACATTTGGACGCCCGAAATGGGCACGGAAAGAATGGGTCCAATGCCCAACAACAAATGTTGTCCCAAACTAACAGCGGCCGCTGTTGGGCAGGCGGCCCTCTGCCTCGAATGGACACAGGCCGCGGCGGCGTGGACAGCGAGTCCTGTTCAAAATGAACATGAACTGCTGTTGGGCATTGTACCCATCCTTTCCGTACCCATGTCGGGCGTCCAAAATACAGTCGGCCCGGATTAGTAGGTCGACCCTGCCAAGTCAAGGGTGCCCTTGTGTCCTGTGCCTCGCGACCCGTGCCCCCTGCATTCCTACGGCAGTGTGGCCCTCGGAAGGGTCTTGTGTCCTCTCGCGTGTCCTGTCCCATCAAGTCCGACTGTACTCAGCTGGAGCTCGGCCTCGGGTGTGCCGAGCCACGGCGCGGTGCAGGGGCGACGCTCTCGCATGGCATCTTCGGGTCCGGTGCCTTTCGGGCCTGGGCCGGCGGGGCCCGATCTGCCCCCCGCCGGGGCGGAGCGCGCGCCACCCCCTCGGGCGTTGCACCTTTCGCGCACCCAGGGTGCCTCAGATGTGCCCCAGGAGTCGACTACACCTAAGAGCCCAGACCCCCTCGAGTCATGAAAAAATCACGACGCGAGGTTTTTCGCTAATTTCGGCCTCTGGGGACCCTTACCGGCCCTCAGGACCGTCAAAAAACGACTCAGGATGAAAAGCCGGTCCCGGGGAATGGGTCCGGACCTCTGGGGGTCGCGTCATGAAAAAAATCATGACGTCGGGGGTCTCGGAGTGACCTTGCGCCGGAGTGACCTCTGGTGCGGGCCCATCGGGTCTCCCCCTATCGCCGAACGCGATGCGATGGTGGCGTCTTGCGCGCTTGTGAGTTGGCCCCCCCGCGGCCCCCAATGAGCCGCGCACCCAAGGGCACTCTTACACCCAGGGTCACTCTTACGCGCGGCCGAAAAGGGGGCACCAAAGGGTGACGTTCTGTGGCCCCCCACTGATCGCCCCCCCCCACGTCGGGCAACGCCCAAAGCCTCCCCGGCCAAGGAGGACCAGTCGGGAAACGCCGCCGCGCGCGTGGGGTACAGCGGGCGCACGGAGAAGATGCACAGGCGCGCCGCGCGCCCTCGTCGTCGTCGCTCCCGGCCCTCTCCCCGCCCAATCCTGGGCTCCTTCGGGCCTGTTCGCGCCGCTCAGAGAGCGCCTCGGCCAAAGACTTGGCGCCCCGTCGCGGCCTCCGGGGGGCGTCGCAGGGCTCCGAGGCCGTCCACAGCGGACGGACGTCGGAGCTCAAGAGGCTCGGGCCCGGCGAAAGGGGGGGATTGGGAAAGGGGGGGGGTACGAAATTTGCTGCATGCAGCTGGTATCGGCCTCACCGAGGGGCCCATTCCTCGATGCATAGCCGCCTCCGGCACCAGGAGGCGCCGGGAAAATCAGCTACGTGAGCTGATTTTCCCCCCCCCCTTCCTTTGCTATCCCCCCCTTTCGCCCGACCCGAGAGGCGGTGGTCAATGCGAACGGGGTCAGCCAGAGCACCGGGTCCTGCAGGAGCCGGCAGGGCCAGGGGCGCACAGGCCCAGGCCCGCGCGCAGGATCCTGCAGGATTTTGCAGGATCCTGCAAAGATCGACTAACCCGGATGGTCAGTGGATCCCCGAGGAAGGGAGGGAAGCCAGTCTAGGGGAAGCTGGTCCATACCTCGCGGGGGGCCACGTCAGGTTACAGCGCGGGTGCTCGCAGAAGATGCACATGCGAACGGCGCGCCTTCGTCGTCGTCGTTGTTGTCGTCTTCCTGGTTTCCGGTATTCTCCCCGCCCAGTTCCCAGACCCCCGACGTCATGATTGTTTCATGTTTTCGGGGGCGGCAAAGAGGGGGGTGATGACTGGGGGGGGGGATATCATGGCGGGGGCCATGGTATTTCCCCAGATTTCATGGCGCCCCTTCTTGTTCCGCTACGTCCCTGGCCCCCCCGCTGGGCCGCGCACATGCCGCCAGTCATGATTTGTCCCCCCCCCGGCTTGGATACCCCCCTTTTGGCCGCTCCCGATGTTTCGCCACGTCAACCCCCAGAGGTCTCGGCCCATTCCCCCTGGACCGGTTCTCTTCTCTCCCCGAACCGTTTCGTGGCGGTCTCGAGGCCTGGGCAGGGCCCCCCGGAGGGGTCGAAAGTGGCGACACCTCTCCCCGTCGTGATCGCCAGGGGGCCTGAGGGTTCTGGGCCCCGCCCCGTTTTTTTCGGCGGTGGCGCCCACTTGTCTGTGTGGTTTCCAGTATCGTTTTCTGCAGGTTCGCCCTGGCCCCCCCTTGGGCCATATGGGCGAAGTTATTTGTTCAATGCAGATTCCATGGTGCGTTTGAAACGTTTGATTTCTCTTCAAGAGATCATATGTGACCCCTAGAAAGCCAGCGCCTGCCGTGGCGGCCTCCTCGCATCGCTCCAGCACGTGGGCAGGCGGCCTCCAGGGGGGGGGGTCTCGAGTGTTGGAGGGGGTCGTCGCGGAAGAGGCTCGTCCTGGTGGGGTCGAGGGCTCAAGAAGCGGGCCTCTGGGGGCCGAGTGCGGTCCTAGTTGTGATTCGCGGTTGGAGATGTCATTCAGGAGGGAAAAAACACAGACACAATTAATCGTCGACTCCCAGGAAAATATGGGAAAATATGGGCAGTGGGGGGAAAGACGAAAGCCCAGAAAATGTAGGGAAATATGGGGAATCCTGTTATTTGTGTGTGTGTGTGTTCATGTGTGTGTCCTGGGGCCCCTTCAGTCATGGCGCCGGCATCGCAGAGCGGATTCCGTTTGGAAAACAACAGGATGGGCCCGGAGTGTCTTGGAGAGTTGCGTTGCGGATTGCGAGGTGAGTTTCGTGCGGATTTTGTTGGGCCAGGGGTGAAGACCAAAACAAATCCACGCGATATTCATTCTTTTTTCATTCGCCGTTTCGGGTCTTTGCATTGACAGGAATCCACGCAACATTCCGCTGCAGCACGTCTGCAAGGTCGGTGCAGTGATAGATGTCTGGGCACCGCGGGCTGCGCCCAGAGGGGCTCTCCGCCCCCGTCGACTCTTCGCCTGGCCTCCTCTTCGCTGTCTTGGCTCACGCCGGGCCGCCAATTCACGTCACGGCATCGAGCTGTAAGAGACAGGGGTCAATGCAAATGGGAGTCAGCCAGAGCACCAGATCTTGCAGGATCCTGCAGCGCCAGGGGTGCACTAACCTGGGTTTGGGTGCAGGATCCTGCCGGATCGTGCGAGGCCTGACTGACCCGGGCGTGGATTGACCCAGGTCAGTAGATCCCCGATGGCGGCACGCGCAAGGAGTCAGAGGAGGAAAAGGTACCAATATCGCTACCTTTCGCCCGTTTTTCCCTTTTTGGGCCTTCTGAGAGGCCTTCGTCACCACCGCTGGATTGGCCTCGAAATTTTGGCCTGAACGCACCCGGGGAGAGGTCTGGGGAGTAGCGGTATCTGTACCTTTTGTTTTCCCCAGCGGGGCAGCCTTCGACATGGTGGTGGTCTGCGCAGAAGGCAGGGACCTTCTTAGAGGGGCCAGGCAGTGTCTGATAAGGTTTTTCCGGGGTCGGGAGGGCTCCAAAGAGGCCCTCTGCCTTCTTAGACGCCCTTTGCCTTCAGAGGGCCTGGTCCGATTCGATAGCGGCACTCCGGCGATCCGATGCGGTCCGATGTTCGCGTGGCGCTGTCACGGCCCGTTGCGCATCCTGGCGCGGCCGATACCCAGTTCGAGTTGACTCCGTGCTGACGCAGCCCGATCCGACGCACCCTTTCCGATTCGGTCCGGCCGCCCGATTCGATGTCACGGATCTTGCCTGCCACCGTCCCTGACCAGGGTTGTCCTGGGCCCTGGGATTTACCAGCCTCGAACGTATCCCTCTCCCTAAGATTGACACGCCAAAAGGCGATGACAATCTTAGGGATTCGCCCTCAAAACAGAAGGGAATCCCTAAGAATTGGCATCGTGATGAGGAGGTGCCCAGCATAGGGATAGGGATGTGTTCCAGGCTGGTAAGGATGATGCACGGCAGGTTCGCGCCGGTTTGACGCGGCGGGGCGTTCAAGGCTAAGCGTTGCCATTGACCCAGATGTGGCCCGATGTCGAATGATTTGGGCTGACGGATGGGGGCCCAAAGAATATACGCCACCACCACGTCGATTCCCCCCTTCCTCCTCTTTCCAGCGGGAGGGAGGTGGAGAGGCAGGTGGTGGTGGTGTATATCTCTTGGGCCCCCCAACGGAGTCAAGGTTGAACGAGTCACGCGGCGTCAGAGACCAGCGTCCACTTCGGAAGGAGGAACCAGCCGTATATAAATTCCTGTCCTCGATCGGGAGGTCAAAACGCCAACCCCACGGCTCAGCATGCCCTTGGCCAGGGATGTGGCATAGATAGTTGCCTTCTGTGGACCGTCTGGACGATCCATCACCGGACGGCTTGGGGGCCTGGGAGGCCCCGAGCGCTCGAGACGTCCTCGGGGAGAGGCCCGAGTCCCCCGGCAGTCCGCTCACCCCGCACCACCTCGAGTTCACCAGACGGTGTGGTCACCGGACCGCTCGGGGACCGGGGACCCCGGGCAGGTTCTTGGCCCGGGAGTTCAGCGAGGCGCAGTCGCCCGCTTTGTCCTACGAGGCGATGTGCAAGGTTCAGGCTGCCCGGCGCGGCAGCAGTCCAGGAGGAGAGGGAAGAGGACGAGCAGGAGGAGGAGGAGGAGGAGGAGGAGGACAAGTTTGAACCCAAAACGCGTCAACGATGTATCAATCAATCCTCCCTCCAAGGTCCCTGTAGGTCGCTACGCGAATTCATGTTCATGCTGGAAGTGCCCCGTTCCGTTCGAAGACGACCGTCTGAGAATCTTCGATCGTGCCAAAACACTACTCCTTGGACTTCACCGCCACGAATCAACTCCATTGTTGCGTCCTGACGATCCTGAATCGCGCCAGAACGCGACTCCTGGGATTCCATCTCCGCGAATCAACGTGACTGTGGCGCCATGACTGTCTTTACCAGAACATCATACCTGGAACGTTAACGGTAAGACCCCGCCAACTTTCCATGTATTGTCAAAACGAATGTGCGCAGCGCTGAGGCGAGAGCCACATTCTGAAAAAGAGCCGTCCTCCATCCGTGAGACTCTTGCAAACGTCCAGGACGGATGTGCTCGGTGCTGAGGCGAGGGCCACATTTTGAACACGAGCCGCCCTCCATTCGTGAAGCTCCTGGGTACTATTATGACGACTGCGCGCTGCGCTGAGGCGAGAGCCTCATTTTGAAAAGGAGCCTCCATTAAACATGGAAACCACTGCAGACTGTGAGGATGAATGTGCGCGGCGCTACTGCGAGAATCATGCCTTAAGATCGGCCCGCCCTCAATCCGGAAGACTCTTCCAAAGAGTATGCTTCAACATCATATGCGGTGAGCGCCCTACTGACACGTCTCGGGGTGCGGCAGGGAGGAGTTGAACCTATGGGAAAAAGGATGCTGGAGGCAGACGAACGGTTTGGGAGTATTGTTTTGCATATCCCTGTTGTGACCTCAGCCCACCACGGGGCCCCTGCAGACCTCCGGAGACCGCCCTCGAGGACAGTAGCCAGACGATATTCAACATAGAAGACCGTGACGGGCGTTAACAGCGAAAGGTCTTTTAGTTTTGGCCCCCCCTCTGCTTCTCTCTGCGGTGAATAGGACTGCTCCTAAAACCTCTTCCTCCTCCTCCCCCCTCTAGGGAATGACACGAGGATGCATACTTACTGTTGCTATGATTGTTTCTCTTACCACTACTGTGACTATTACATGTACTGTCAGTATTACGATTCAAATTGTTCTTACTCCTGAGGAGGGGAAGGAGGAGTATGGATGCGGCTACGTGCGAGGAGGAGGAGTATGGAGGGAGGAAAAGTGGGGTAGTGACAACAACTTCCTTCTGCGACGACTAGTATTTCTCATTACCACCACAACGACACCAACTACTACTACTACTACGACTACTACTACTACTACTGCTGCTACTACTACTACTACTACTGCTACTACTACTGCTTCGAATGATGATATGCAGTACTAAAACCACTACGGCGACCACCCCAGTACGGATACTATTATTCGCACTCCCACTGCTACGACTACTACCACTACTACTACTACTACGACTACTACTGCTACTATTGTTTATACTACTACTACTACTACTACGACTACTACTACTACTACTACTTTGGCGACTGCTACTTCTTCTACTACTACTACTACTACTACTATTACTACTACAACTACTACTACTACGACTACTACTACTACTACGACTAGTAGCACTATAGCTACAACTACACTTACTATCACGATTAATACTACAACTAGTACTAGTACCATTACACCAACTCCCACGACTACGATTACGACCACTACTTCTATTACTACGACTACTACTACTAGTACTTCTGCTACGACTATTGTTACAACTTGTTCTACGACTATTACTACTACTACTACTACTACTACTACTACTACCACTACTACAACTACTACTACTACTACTACTACTACTACTACTACTACTACTACTACTACCACTGCTATCACTATTTCCACTACGACGTCTAAAACAACTACGAGTACTGCCACTACTACTGTCTTACGACTACTATCACTACTACTATTGCCACTATTATCACCCTTATGACCACGACTACTTCTACTACCACTACTAGCACCACGTGGACAAATACCACGGCTTCGATTACGACCATTACTATCACTACCCCTACTATTTCTAATATTATTAGTACTACTAGAATTACTATTACGACTATTATTACTACTACTAATCTACTACTGAGACGGCTATTATTTCTACTACTACTACTACGACGACTATTCCAGCTACTATTACTACTACTGCTACTACTACTACTACTACTACTACCGTTATCGCGAGTCTTCTTATGACGCCTAGTTCGACTCTTCTTACTACTACTGCTTCTTCTTCTACTACTACTACTACTACTACTACTACTCCTACCCCTACTACTACTACTACTACTACTACTACTACTACTACTACTACTACTACTATTACAGCTATCACAGCTACAACGATTAGTACTACTACGGCTACTACGATCACTAGTGGTAGTATCAGTTCTTATGGTTCTGACTATTACTATTACTACTACGGCTACTACTGCCAGCAGCAGTTCTAGCACGGTCACCAGCATTACTAGCACTACTACGGCCAGTCTCATAACTACGGCTGCGACCACTATTATTAGCATTCCCCCAGCAACTACGACTACTACTACTTTTACGATCGAATCCTACCTTTGCTACCACGGTTGTTGTGATCACTACTTCTACTTCTACTATTTCTGCTACCACGGCTGCTGCTACTACGTCTACTAGGATAACTACGACAACTTCTACTACTATTGTTGCTGCTGCTGCCATTCTCATTACCACTGCGTTTATGAATACAGCTGCAAGCGCAACTACGTTTACGACTGTGGCTGCGATTGTTACCACAACGTTTACAAGTACGATTCCGTCTACGACTACTACTACTATGATTCTTACTATTACTACGACTACGATTGCCACTCCTACCAGTACTGCCGCTACCACGACGACTATTATTCATATGCCGGCTACGACTACCACTGCTACTACGACTACGACTACGACCCCTACTATCAGTCATGTGGCTACGTCTAGTTCTACGACTACGACCACTACTGCTATTCATGCGGCTATTACGGCTATCGCCACTTCTGCGACCACTACCGCTACTAGTATTTTTGTTGCTATTACGACGACGATTACTGCTACTACTACTATTATTACTACTTGTTTCATTACTGCTACTACTACTACTACTACTACTACTACTACTACTACTTCTACTACGATTACTACCACCACCACCACCACTACCACTACCACGATTGGTCCTGGTTCGAGTGCTGCTGCTACGACGACTACTACGACCACGACAATAACCAATCATAAGATCATTACGGCCACTACTGCTACTTCCACCACTACACTCCTACTACTACTTTTACTACTACTGCTAGTGGTCATACTGCTAGTCCTACTCGTACTACTACTACCTACCACTACCACCACTACGACTACTAGTACCACTACTACTACGATTACTTTGACCAATACGTACTACCCCTACTACTACTACTACTACTACTACTACTACTACTCCTACTACTACTACTACTACTACTACTACTACTACTTCTACGACTACCACTGCTACTACTACTACTACTACTACTACTACTACTCCTACCCCTACTACTACTACTACTACTACTACGACTACTACTACGACTACTACTACTACTATTACTACTACTATTACAATTACCACATCGATTACCACTTCTACTACTGCGACGACGACGGCGACGACTAGGACTACTACTACGACTACTAGATCCACTACTACTACTACTACTACTACTACTACTACTACTCTTACAACTACTACCACCTCTACCACTACTACTACTACTACTACTACTACTACTACGCTACTGCTACTGCCACTACCCCAAACTCCTACCACTACTACTACTACTACGACTACTACGACTACTACTACTACTACTACTACTACGACCGCTACTACTATTACTCCTACTACTACCACTACTACTATTACTACGACTACTTTCGCTTTACTAATACTACTACTACGTCTACTGATACTGCAACTTGTCCGACCACTACCACTAGTTTTTCTTACTGCCACTACTACGTTGTTTGCCACGTCTACTACTACTACTACTACTACTACTACTACTACTACTGCTACTACTGCTGCTACTACTACTACCACCACCACGACTACTACTACGACGACGACGACGACTACTACTACGACTACGACTACTGCTATTTCTATTCCTATTACTACGACTACGACGACGACTACTACTACCACTACCACTACTACTACCATTACTACTACTACCTCTGCTACTACTACTACTACCACTACTACTACTACTACTACTACTACTATTACTACTACTACTATTACTACTACGACTACTACTACTCCTACTACTATTACTAAGACTACTACGACTACTACTACTACTACTACTGCTACTACGACTACTACTACTACTACTACTACGACTAACACTACGACTACTACTACCACTACTAATATTATTATTATTATCACTTCTTCTACTACTACTACTACTGCTACTACTACTCCTACTACTACTTCTACTACTACTACTACTACTACTACTACTACTACTACTACTACTACTACTACTACGACTACTATTACTACTACGACTACGACGGCCACCCCTACTCTCACATATTCGATTTCCACTGTGACTACTACTACCACTCACTACCACCACCACTACCACTATCGAAGTGGTTGTTGTCGTTGTCGTGGTTGTTGCCGTCGCCGCGGCAGAGACCGTTGCCCTCTATCGTGGGGCGGGCTGGATCATGCTTAGGGTTTCTTTTTCCGCGGAAGAAACCATTGTGCGTTACCCTACACGCCAGAGGATTGGTGAGCATAGTCTCACGAGGCTTTCACTATGAAACAGTTGCTGCGGTTGTAGTCGTGAGGGTAGTCGTGGTTATCATCGCGATTGCAGTCTCGGTAGTAGTAGTAGTCGTAGTCTCGCCTGCAGCCGCAATCGCAACCGTAATCCTAATCGTAGTCGCAAGCGTCGTCGTCGTCTCGAAGGATACTATTATGCCTTTGTTGTTGGGCGGCCTGGATACTGTGGGGGGACTCTGTCTCCCACGGAATAGCGCCTCCTGGGCTACCCTGCGCGACAGAGGAGTTTTGAGCACGTTTGTAAAGGATTACCATATACATCGGCACATTCTTCGCCGGAAGCGTTGCTCACAATCTTTCTGAGGATGTGTTTTTGGAGGATGGGTTTTCTCAAGGCCCTCGTGGGTTCTGAGCTTCAACCGTCCTTCGAGGATGGAGCTTGTGAGGAAAATCAATCGAGTTTCTGAGTTACTAGGGCATGACCAGTATGAGTCGTCGTGGTCGAGTCGTAGCGTCGTCGCTGTTGCGCGTCTGATGCCTCGGAGAAAACAAGTAGTTCTTCCCCGAAGACGGGACCCCAGTCTTCAAATAAGGCCGCCGAAAAATACGCGATTATCCCGGATTGCGGGGGGAATTGTAAATACTTGTAGAGGCTAGTCTCGCGCCTCGGAGATCGATTTGGTCCGAGGGAACGTGGCAAAGAGATCGGGCAACGAAGGTCTCAGGTCGTGGTCTCTGAGGGAGCGTCCTCTGCGCACGCTGGGAGGAAGTGAGGGGGGGTAGTCCGAGCCGCCCCTCACCCCTGAAAAGTCGGGGGGGGGGGGTCCAAACCCCCCCCCTTGTTCAGAGTAAATGTCGGGGGGGAGGGGGGGCCGACTTGTCTAACCCCCCCACCATCAAAGGGGGTCTTCGAATTCCCCCACCGTCAAAGTCTGGGGGGGGGGGGAAGGGCTCGGATCCCCCCTTCCCTGGGCGCCGCCGACGATGATGGCGACGACGCCCGTCGCCGCCAAACGGCGACGACGTGTCCCGCCCGCGCGACCGACTCGGCCACGAGTTTGGCGACGTGTCCCGCCTGCCCGTCCGACCAACGGGTTCGCGGGCAGATGCAGACGACGACGACGACGACGACGCCGACGACAACGACGCCGACGACCGACGACGGCGACGGCTGGCGGCGACGACGACGACGGCGACAACGACGGCGCCGACGGCGTCGCCGCCCTGCGCTGGCAAACGACGAGTACGACGACGACGACCACGTCGGCGCCGACGACGACGTGGCCCATTCGCCCGCCCGGCCGACTCACGACGTCGACGATGTGTCCCGGCCGCCCAACCGACGGGCGCGGCAAAAAGCGACGACGACGACGACGACGACGACGACGCGGCGAGGAGGGGGTTCCCCCCCCCGACTCTCGGGGAGGTGGAGCTCTGGCCCCCGCCCCTCCCCCGGACTTTCGGAACGATGCGGGGAAGGGTGGGGGCCGGGGGTGTTTCCCGCAAGGGAGGGAGGTAGGGGGGCCCGGCTCATGAGAGAAGGGGGGGATCTTTAATTTTCTTCTCTTTGGCGGGGGAGGGGGGGCGGTGGTCCCAGAGCGAGGGAGGTCGGGACTCGGCACCAGTGACACGCACGCAGAAGACGCTCCCCCGGACCTCTCCTCGCGACGTGGTGTGCTGAGTGGGGCGTCCTCCAGGTCGCCCGCAGGGGCGCGACGATGCTGGCGCCTCGTGCGTCGCGGCCTGGGCCAGAGAGCCTACCGTCTCCCCGCGGCGGCGGCGCGAGGGCGCGGGAGATGGGCCGCGCGTCGCGCATCGTGGGGCGCGATGCGCGAGGTCGGGTGACCGGCTGTCTGTCGTGGAAGAAGAGTCCCAGGGAGGTTCGGGCTGTTCCCGGGGGGTGCCCGGATCCCCGCAGGGGTTGTCCAGGGCAGGTCGCCTTGTCGTCAGCAATCAGCCTGGAATGGCCAGGTTGTCCGAGGGGGTGTCTTTCTTTTTGTTGCGGGTCGGATTTTTGTTCCCATGCAACACAGCAGGTCATGGGGAATGGCGCAGTTCTTGCAAGCCCCCCGCGCGCAGCGTGACCTTGCCCCGAGGGCCCAGGCGCGCACCAGGTGCCCTCGGAGAGCGGGGGAGAAGGAGTGCGGAGGGGCCCAGACCTCCGACGCTGGGGCCGCGTCGCAGGCCGTCCGCGTGGACCGCTTCGTCGGACCGGTTTCAGGAGGGGAAGAAACACACAGACACAATTCATCGTCGACTCCCAGGAAAGTATGGGAAAGTATGGGATGTGGGGGGGAAGACAGAAACCCAGAAAATATGGGGAAATATGGGGAATCCTTTTATTTGTGTGTATTTATTTGTGTGTCCCAGGGCCCCTTCATGCTTTCTTGTCCCCGGTCGTGGCTCGACGGTCCAGGGGCCCTGATGGTCGGACGCGGCCAGGACGAGGCTTTCGGGAAAGCCCAGCCAGCTACCATGGCGCCCACGAGGCGCCCACAGTCGTCGACGCGGCGCCGTCGGGGAGGACCAATCCGATGAGTTATCGGACGGGGCTAAGACGACTATAAATCCGTTCCAGAGCGGTCCGGAACGCTCTCAAAGCGTTCCGCAACGCTCTGAGAAGGATCGCGGCGCCAGAGACACCTCCCAGAGCCGCCGGATCTCAGAGATTCTCGATTTATTTTCACCCGATGTTATCCTCGTCCTGGTTTCGTCTTAAGTCGCCCTCCAGAGGCCGAACATTCGCAAAAACCCTTGGCCGCTCCTGCGTGCTCCCCGCCACTCCCCCCTCCCCTCCTTTTCAGCTGGTGGACCGGCTCACTGATGACAGAACAGTGCTGGACCTGAACGCTGTTTTGCTGGACTTCGGCTGTGTTTCGTCTTCCGTTTTGGCAGGGAGGTGCAGGAGAACAGGTAAAGCAACACGTAAATCAGAACGAACACAACGCGAGCATCAATGTCTAGGTCCAGCCTGGTGGTTGATGGAACCCCCACCTGGCCAAGTCGACTAGCGATTCCCCGATTTTGTCGGTTCTCGAGAGCGCGTCACGGCCGCAGTGTTGGATGGTCGTGCGCCCACCACATCTGGTACCCGGTCGGTACCACAGGTCGTTGTCACAGCGTTTGGCTAAAAGGGGTCCTGTCCACCCCCGAGAGGAGATGCAGACAAGTCTTCTCTCCATCTCTCGAGTCGGTCGAAGGGGGGGGATTCGGAAGGGTATGTGAAATCTGCTCTTCGCGCAGGTGGTTTCGCCCCCGCCGCCAGGCGCCTTCCTCTGGCGCCTGGAGGCGCCCGGAGAAACAGCTGCCACGACCCCCCGCTCTTGCGACCCAGTACTCTTCTGTACTCATCTCTACTTCCCGCCTCCCCCTGCTCCGTCCCAAGACCCCTTGTCGTAGACGCCTTCCCCAGGGACCGGCTTTTCTTCCCGAGCAGTGTTCGACAGTCCTGGGCCCCGCAGGGCGAAAACGGCCCGAGCGAATCCATGGTGTTTTGTTAACACATATCCTGTAGTTGTGGATCTTCGTTTTGAAGAGACAGCGCCCCGCGTTCTCCTTCATCCTCCTCTTCCTCCTTTGCCTCTCCGCATTTCTTCCTCCTTACTTCCTCCTCTTCATTCTCCTTCATCCTCCTCATCCTCCTTCATCCCCGCGGTACACCCAGTGCAAAGCTTCGAAGCCCCGTAGGGAGTTCCACCGAAGGCCCCAGCGGCATTTTGGCGCACCCCTCACACGGTTCGTGGCCCCAGAGGCAGTTCCACCGAAGCCCCAGTGGCGGGGTTCGCATGGCGGTGCCGCCCCTTTTGGGCGCACCCTCCACACGGTTCGTGACTACATAGGGAGCTCCACCGAAAGCGGTCTCACAACATTACGCTCACACAATTGCATACGGTTGGGTCGTTCGCCAGGATGTCTTTCTGCCACGACACGAGGAGGTAATCAATCGTGGGTGCTGAACCTCCTCCTCCCCCATCCATCTCGACTTCATCCTCCTCGCACCTTCCGCCTCGATCCCTCCTCGAGGAGCGCGCCTCCCATGCTCCACCCGCCCCCTCCTGCGGATCCTCCCCGCCCCCGCATTGGGCATCTGCAGGGCGGGATCTGCGGTCGCCAGAGGTGGCCCTGGCCCGAAGCGCCCCCCTCCTCCCGCGCCACCGTGGGGCCCTGGGCCCCCCCCGCGGCCTCGTCAGGCCGGGGGTGCTCTGGAGAGGCCGCGTGGGCCTCTCCCCGGATCGCCAGGGCTGCTTTTCGGCAGCACCCGATGAGAGGGACGGTCCACGGAGTGCACCGCGCTCGGTCGAGGCGGTCTCGGCCCCATCGCTCCTCGCGGCCTCCCGCCATCGTCCCCCTCCTCCCGCCCCCCCCCCTTCCCCTCTCTCAGCATCCCCTCCCTCCCTCCATCCCTCCTCCTCTTCCTCTTCCCCCTCGTCGTCCTTCTCGTTTCCCACCGCGCCCTCCTCCCGCTCGGAGGGAGCACCCCTCCCTTTCGGCCCGCTCGCTCCGAAGCGATTGCGATCTTCCGACGATCCGATGCGGACCGATGTTTGCATGGCGCGTCTGTGCATCCTGGCGCAGCTGGTTCGATTCGATTCCGGCTCCGTGCCGACGCAGGTCGATTCGATAAGCGATTTACCGATTCGACGGTGACCGATCCTGCCCGCCGCCAGGGCGCGGGGCGCAGGGAATTGATTGCCGGCTGCTTCTTCGAGCTGCTGGCGCGGCCCCGCCGCGGCCGCCCGTGCTTGAGGGTGCCGAGGGTCTCTGGTCGCCTGGGGTGCGTTCTGTATGTTGTTGGCAGCCTCCTCGCGCAGATTCGCTGCGTCGCGGACGCTGTCTGCACCACCGACTGTTGCTGGGGTCCTCGGGGAGTTCTGCCGGTTTCGGGCCTCTGGGCGTCCCGGGCCATTGGCGGGCGGCCAACCGAAAACGACTCGGATGAGGTGCCTCTCATTTCAGAGCCATGGGGTCCAGGTCCCTTTTTCCACCAGGGCTCATTTCTCGAAGCAGCCACGCCCTGCGAACGGGACGACACTCACGATGGCTCACGCCAGCGCAAGACAGCAAGCAACGGAGCAGCCTGGAAGCAGCGCTTCCACAGCACACGCAGCACACAGCACCATCGGTCGAGAACATTCACCTCCACACTTGAGGGCTCCGGCCCGCCCGCGCTGGCCTTCTAGGCCCCGCCGCCCGGGCGGAGAACGGCGCGCTCCTCTCTCTCCGCTCATTCCCCTCACGCATTGAAAACGCACCCCTCTCGTGTTGCGAGAGTGGAGTTGCACCCAGACCTCTCGTCACCTCGTCTTCGCCGTCGTCCTCCTCGTCGTCCCCATACATCTGGCTTGTTGGAAAGATGTTCAAAGTTGGACTCCCAGAGGGCCTCTCTGGGCCCTGGTGCCCGCAGGAAGATCAGTTCGAAGGACCGCGTGAGAAGTTCGAGCAGAAGTGTCGAGAGCACCTGCGAATCCAGCCGCGACCCACCCCACGCCCGCCCCCTCAATCTGACCCGCATTCCAGGCCCCACCTCTCTTTCCGTGCTGACTTGAAGTGTCCAGCCCTCTAGCGGCGTTGGGCGAGGGGTGCCCCGCACTGCTATGGCATGCCGCCAGACCACTCTTCGAACAAAACCCTGCAAGCCAGCGGGACCTGGGTGGCAATCAAAAAGAATTCTTGACCGTAACTGTTGGATGACACATACTTGTTTGTGGTCCCCCCAATGGGCGGCGAGCGAGGGGGGAAGCAATAAGGACAAACCCTTCTCAGAAAGCTGCGGGACTTCGCAGAAGCCCTTCGGCCTTCTGAGAATTTTTCTGCGTATTCGGGACATCTTTCAGAACTCCTCAGAAGACCGGGGCACTTCCGAGCCCTTCGAGAAGGCCTTCTCCTTCTCAATCCTCCCCCCCTCGCTTGCCGCCGACCCAACCATTCCTCATCTTGCCGCCCGCCTGTTCTCTCCCCCCGCGCTGGCTCGGGAGACGACCCGACCGTTCCCGCGGGGCCCGCCGCCGTCGCCGTCTCTGTGGCGCCGAGGCTCGCGGGGCCGATCGCCGTGCGATTGGCTCGGCGGTTTCCTTCTCGGGGGCCTCGGAGGCTCTTGCCTGCATCTCGGCGGAGGCAAAGGGACCGGTACAGTGGAAGCCCATGCCAAGAAACACCCTGCTTGCCTCCAGGATGCCCTGGGTTTCTTGGGTTTAGATTTGCCATGGAAAGCGTGACGTTCCCACCCCGAAAATCAATGGACGTCTTGGGGTCGCAGGGTGGGGTTTCTTGTGGAAAGTTTCTTGTGGACTGGCGTCCACTGCACCGCTGCCCCTGGGATTCCCGCGCCGCCACAGCCGGGCTCGCCACGAGGGCCTCTGGCCGGAGCGCACTCCTGGGGAGGCCCGCGGTGTAGCGGCATCGGTGCCCTTTCGGCTTCCCCCCCCCGCATCGGGAGGAGCTCGGGGCCGCCACGGATGCCCTCCGTCGGAGGCCCCCGCGGAGGTGCCCTCGGGCGTCGCCCAGGGCGTCCATGGCCCGAGGTGTCCCCGGGGGCCTCTTCCTGGGCCCCGAAGGGGCGAGGCGCAGGGGGCCTTTCCAGGCGCTCCCAAGGTGGTGCGGGAGGTCGGGGACCCCTCTGGGACAGGAGCACCTCCTCGCTAGCTCCTCGCTCGGTCCCCGCGTCCTCGCGTCCTCCTCGGCCCTTCTCGCTCCTCCTCGCTCGCTCCTCGCTGCTCCTCCCTCGCTCCTCGCGCCTCGCTCGCGCCTTGCTCCTCTTCGCTCCTCTTCGCTCCTCTTCGCTCCTCGCTCTCGTCGCTCTGCTCGCTTCTCGCCGGAGTTCCTGGGGGGCACCCGGAAGTTTTGCAGGAGGCCTCTGCCCGGCAGGTGCTGAAGACAAACGGCGTTATCGGCCTGTCGCAGGACGCCCCGAAGGGTGACATCCGGATCTCCAAGGCCGATCTCTGAGCGGGGAGAGGAGAAGGGGGGTTGGTGAGGAGTAAGTTTGTGGCGCGAGAGTATATGCGGGGCTTCGGCGAGGCCGAGCTGTGCCCGATGGAAGTGGGTCGCCATCGAAGTGCGACTCACACGTGTGTTGATCGGGACTGGTTTATGAGCAGCGTGGGCGAGGTCATGCTAAGCCTGCTGTTCGCCATGTGAGTCCTACGGTGGTGAGGAGGAAAAGCCACAGAGACCGACGGGTCCGCGGGACCCCCGCCTGGTTTACACCGATGTTGGACCGAGTCGCGGGCAGAGCCGAAGAGATCAGAGCGTACGAGGAGCCGGAGTCGCCTTCCCCGATGGCGTCGTGGATCAGGGGGAAAAGGTGGGGGAGGGAGGAGGAGGGAAACCAGTGTAAACCCAGGGTGCATCAAAGATGTTGCGATGAACCCTTCCTCCAAGTTCCCTCTTCGCAGGTCCCTGAATTGAAATATGTACAGTGCGGGAAGTGGCCCATTAGAAGACAATCGTCTGAGAATCCTCAATTAGGCCAGAACGCAGTTCCTGCGACAGCAACGCCATTGATCAATGCCACTGTTGCGTCCTGACATATCTAAGTCGCACCAGAGCACAATTCCTGGGACTTCAACCGGGAAACAGTGTGACTACGGCGTACTGACAGTCCTTCTTTGTGCCAGAACATCAGTCTGGGGACTTCGACCAAACGAATTTGTGAAACGGATGTAAATTTCCAAAACGGCGAGAGCCACATTTTAAAAAGGAACCGCTTCCACCAGTGAAATTGTTGCAAGCTTTCAGAAATCATGATTGCGGCGCTACGAAGAGAGCCACAGTTTGAAAACGACCCGCCCCCCATCCGTGAAATTGCTGCAAGCTTTTAAATCGAATGAGCGTGGCAGTAATGCGAGAGCCACATTTTGAAAACGACCCGCCCTCCATCCCTGAAGCCGTAGCAAACTTTTGGGATTGATGTGTGCGGCGCTAAAGCGAGAATCACGTTTCAAAACGACCCGCCCACATTCCGCGAGATTGCTGCAAATGTTTCCAGACGAATGTGTGCGGAATTACGGCGAGAGACACATTTTGAAAATCACCCGCTTTCCATCCAGGAGCCCTATGCAAATTTCAGTCCTCAGGATCAGGATCAGAAATGGGAAGGAGTGTGACAGAGAGGAGTTGCTCATAAGGGAAAGGGATGGATGGAGGAGCGAGGGGACGAGGATCTCCGCGCAGTTCGGTTGCTTCGCAGCCGGCGGGGCGGGAGGATGACAAAGAATGGGTTGAGGGGGCGGGCGAAGGACGAGGATGCAAGGCTCCATCGCCCGCTCGCCCGGGCGCGGCCCCCAGGATGCTGGACGGCATGTTGCCCGAGCGGGGTTCTCGGGAGCACCCCGGCTCACGCCCAGGCTCCAACGCCAGGAGCAGAGGCCAGTGCGGAGGTTTCTCTCGCCGTTTTTGTTGGGCCTCGGGGAGCGCGGCGTCGGATCTCGGTGGGGGGGAGTGAGGAGGAGGAGGAGGAGGAGGAGGAGGAGGAGGAGGAGGACGCTACGATGTTAGCCGATCCAAATTTGCCTAACGTCGAGGAGGAGAGGGAGGAGGAGGATCATTGGGAGGACGAGGAGGAGCAGGGATCTGGGCTTCCCTGCTCGGGCCGTCCGCCATTGCGATCACGACCGGTGATTGTGTTCTGTCTCTCTGAATCTCTCGCTCTCTCTCTCTCTCTCTCTCCCTCTCCGCGGCCTGTCCGTGCCGAGGCGCGTTCCTGGAGATTCTCTCCGCGGCCGGCGCGGCTCGTGCTGAAGCGTCTTCTCAGAGGCACTGTGAGCTCGCCGATCTGCTCCAGAGCGAAGCGATGCGAAAAAACATGTTTTTTTACCGCGCGGGTTCCATGCGCCAGGGGCGTAAAATCTAAATAAGAGCCGGAAACAGAAGAGGAGACCCACCGAAGTCGTTTCCTCACGGGTCCCGGCGAGGGCCTTTTGTAGGCCAAAAGCGGTCAACAAAAACCGTGCGTCGTGTTTCTTTCACGACGCGAGGGGGATTGGTTTCGGTCGGGGGTCAAACATCACCACCCAGGCCTCTCCCGGGGTGCGTTCTGACCAGCATGTCGAGGCCAATCCAGCCACGGCGCCAGGCCAACATGCTTCCGTCATTGAATCTCGAGGCCTCTGTCATCTCCGCCTGTGCCGCTCCTTCCCCCCCCGCAGGCGAAGCAGTGGACCCGGTAACCTGGCGCGGGCGTCCCCCCCCCCCCCAACGGTGGGCGTCGCGTAATGGTATGGTGTTGCCAGAAGTAACCCTGGCCCAAAGTACCCCCAGGGTCTCGGGGTGGCCCAGGCGGCCTCCAGGGCACCCCTCACGAGGCCCAGAGGGCCCCAGGGGCTCCAAAATGGAGCGAAAAGCTGGGGGTACCTTGGGCCAGGGGCACTTCTAGCAACACCCGAAATGGGGGGGCGATAAGGACGTGGGCCGGGCAGCGAGGGCTGCAGAAAAAAAACCCAAGGGGCCTCTCAGGGCCCGAGAAGTGCATCCCCCCCAATTTTTGCCGTCCGATAACCCCAGGAGGCCTTTAGCTTTGGATCCCCCCCCCCCATTTTTTCCGGCGGAGAACAAACTCGCCCCTCCTCCTTAATCTTCCTCCGCTTCCTCCTCCTCCTCCACCTCCTCCCCCCTCCTCCTCATCCTGCCCCTCTTCTTCCTCCTGCTCCTCCTGCTCCTCCTCGTGGTCCTTCTCGTGATTTTCGTCGTCGTCGCAGCGGAGATCATTTTCCCTCTGTTGTTGGGCGGGCTGGGTAATGTTGGGGGGATCGTTCTCCCAAGGATAGTCCATGGTGGGATTCTCTACGCGCGAGAGGATTTGCGAGCATCTTCTCGATCGGCACATTATTCGCCTCCTCCCCCTCCTCCCTCCTCCTCCGCCCTCCTCCCTCCTCCTCCTCCTCCTCCTCCTCCTCCTTCTCCTCCTCTTTCTCCTCCTCTGTCTCCTCCTCCTCTTCCTCCTCCGCTCACAATATCCTCCCTCATCTCGCCGTCGTCGTCGTCATTGTGCGGCAGGCGCCTCGGGGAAGTTATTTATGTTCCAGTATTGGTGGTGCTCCTGTCCGTCAATCGGGGCGCCGAGGAAAATAGGTGCTTCCACCAGGGGGGGGGTTCTAAAGACCTGTACCGGTTACGCGACGCCCACGCCCCCCCACCCCGTCCCGCTCGCGCGGCAGCTCGACCTCGCGGCGGCGCCGCGCGTGGGGCGTTCTCGCGGCGCAAGAAGGGCCGCCGCTCGCCGTGGTCGCTGCCGACGCCGACGTCCACCGCCGCCGCCGTCGCACACGGCCGCGCCGACCTCGCCGCGCGCCGACGTAGTCTTGGCCGCTGCCGTCGTGGTGGGCGTCGGGCGTCATCGTGGTCGTCGCCGCTGGCGTCGTCCTGGCAGTCGTCGTCGCCGCCGTCGTCGTCTCCGCCTTGCGTCGTCGAGGTCGTCATTTACGTGGTCGGTGGAGGACGAAGTCGCCGACGTCGAAGGAGGAGATTTGGAATGGGGAGGGGGATGCGGGGAGAGGGATGAGAGGTGGGTGACCAGGAGAAAGGAACGGGTGGAGGAGGATGAGGAGGAGGGGAAGGGGAAGAGGGAGGGGACAGGGAGGGGGTTGGGGAAGGAGGATGGAAGGAGGAAGGGAGGGGGAGAAGGACGAGTTGGAGGGAGCAGGTGGTAAGAAGGGGGGGGAATCAGGATGAGCAGAAGACGCATTCGGTGGCAAGAGTATGCAGGGGGCGAAGGAAGGGGATGGGGAGCATCAATGATGAGGGGAGGGGGGAGATGATGACAGGGAGGAGGGGAGTGAGGAGGGGAAAATAGGAAGAGGGACGGCGGAACAGTAGGCGGAGGAGGCGGAACACGTAGCACCCCGCAGTTGACGATACGAGTGAGGGGGCGGCGGGGTCGTCGCCAGTCTGCGAAACCCTGAAGAAGCCCGCCGCAGGCGCCGAACGAATATTTATCTCACTCCACAACGAGCCCGCCGCAGGCGCTGAAGACTCGTGGAAACAATTTGGGCGGGTCGCGGGTTGTCGCCAACGGGGTCGCGGGGTGGGTCGTGGGCGGGTCGCGGGCGAAAGCGACGACAACACCACAACAACACAACAGCAATCCGCACCGCGGAACCGCTTAGAGACAGTGAATGACCGTTCGGCCCTGTCACTCTGATATACCAGGAAAGCGGAGGAGGGGGAGGAAGGAGACGGAGGGAAACAAGGGCGAAGGGAAAAGGGAGGGGAAGTTGGAAGGGAAAGGGGCGGTGCACGTTGAACCATGAGATTTTATGGGTTCGGGGCCTCCTCTTTCTCTCTCTCCTCCTGTCACTCTTGTCCCCCCCTCCTCTTCTTCTCTTCTCCTTCGTTCTTATTTTGCGTTCCTCTTCTCAACTCGTTACTTTTTTCTCCTTATCCCTTTCCCATCCTTCATCTCCCCTGTCTTCCCCGGCCACCTGGACTACGGACTTCCTGTGTTCAGGATTATGTTGTGTCTTGCTGCGTCTTGCGGCGAGCATTATGTACAAGTTGTCTTGAAAGAGCTCGCTAGGCCTGCATACTCCTTTTCCTCCCCCCTGAGAGCCGCGTCAGCCAGAGAGGTCCGCGGAGAGGTCCCCCACAGAGGTCTCTGGAGGTCTCGGGAGGCCCCGCATGAGGTTCCCAGAGGCCTGCACGAGTTCTCCAGAGTCGAGTCGGGCGTGTGGATATTCACTAGCGGCGTACATTTCCGTATCCGCGCCTTCGCGCTCTGGACTCCGGGGCGCGATCCTGCGGATACGCGGTTGCACGGACAGGCTCCGCGCGGGGCCGTGTCCGCGGGGTCGCCGCCCAGAGGCCCGGCCCGAGAGGCCGCCAAACGGACATGTCTCCCGCCCATGAGCAACGGAGTGTGACCTGAATGGGGTGTGAAGAGCAGGGCCCGAAAAGGGGCCCTTTGGGGCTCCTTTTGGACACAGCACGGGCCCAATTGGGGCCCGAACGAGGAGGAGGAGGAGGAGGAGGAGGAGGAGGAGGAGTAGGGGCCCCTGTAGGACCTTTCTCGTCACCCCCATTTAGGTCACCCCTCATTGCCACCCGCCCGACAGAGGCCTCCAGGGCCAAACAAAAGCACACAGAGTAAAGCAAGTGAAACAAAGGGCCGAGAGTGAAAGACAGCTTTGAGCAAAACAGAGAACAACAGCGCCAATGGCAACAAATACCGATCAGTGACCATCAGGGGCGACCTTCAGGGGCAATCGACCCCGAATCGCCCATTGGTCTCCGATCGGGTCCTAGGTTCACCACCTTTCCTCAGGAACGTGCGGTTTGGCTCTGTCGGGGTGCGATCGCTGACGTATCGTCGGTGCCAGGTCATTAGTGCAACCCTGCTCCTCTCCGATCCTCGATCCGCCACTTTGTCCTCCAGCCCCCCGCCCTCCTCGGGAAGCTGCCGGGGGGCGGGGGAGGGGGGGGGCAGCGACAATTCCCAGCAGCTGCGGTGGGTGGGGGGGGGGGGCGTCTGCCGCCTCCCCTCCCTGGCATGGAGCTCTCCCTCGACGAGCTCCAGGTCAGCAACCCTCGAGTGTGCACATCGTCGTACTCGTAGAGGGCAGCGTCCGCAGTGACACCGCGCCGGCGCCGCCTGTTTTTCGGCAGCCCTCTGCGCCGCGGCGACGGAGAGGGAGAGCGGGGTACTGGTTCCCCCCCCCGACCCAGCCCCTTCCCCCTCCCCCCCGTTCGGCTCCCCTCAGAGCATCGGCCCCCTCGTTGCCCTCCTCCCTCCTCCCTCGCTCCTCCCGTCCTCAACAGGCGCCCCCCCCCCCTCTGCAGTCAGGGTTGTGGCTTTGGCGCCGGGGGCGCCTTCTCTCCCTCGCGTGGGTCAGGGGCAGTCGCCGGCAGGCACGTGGGGTGTATGCGTGTCATCATCGCACGGCCTCGTCGGTGCTCCCGTCCCAGCCTTTCCCCCCCTCCCTGCTGTCGGGAGGGGTAAGACTCGAGTAAGCCGGAACTCGGGTCTGCCGGCGTTCTGTGACGAGCCAGTTTTCGAGGGGTGTTTGCAGCGGGAGTTCGCGTCCAACTTCAGATTGGGTCTCGTCATTTTTCAGATGGCCCCGTCAGGCGACTCCGAGTCCCCCGTACCCGAGTCTTACCTCTCCCCGGCCCTGGAGGTCCTCCTCCCCCTCCTCCCCCTCCCCCTTCTCCTCCTCCTCCTCCTCCTCCTCCTCCTGCTCCTCCTCCTCCTCCTCCTCCTCCTCCTCCTCCTCCTCCTCCTCCTCCTCCTCCTCCTCCTCCTCCTCCTGCCCTCCTCCTCCTCCTCCTCCTCCTCCTGCTCCTCCTCATCATCATCATTCTCCTCCTGCGCCCTCTTCCGCCTCGTCCCCTCCTCCTTCCCCTCCTCATCCTCCTCCTCCTCCTGCTCCTCCTCCTCCCTCCTCCTCCTCCTCCTCCTCCTCCTCTCCTCCTCCTCCTCCTCCCCCTCCTCCTCCCTCCTCCTCCTCCTCCTCCTCCTCCTCCTTCCCCTCCTCCTCCTTCTCCTCCTCCTCCTCCTCCTCCTCCTCCTCCTCCTCCTCCTCCTCCTCCTCCCTCCTCCTCCTCCTCCTCTCCTCCCTCTCCTCCTCCTTCTCCCCCCCTCCTACTTCTCTTCCTCCTCCTTCTCCTCCCCTCCCTCCCTGGAGGCCTCAGGTCCCCCCAGCCAGCCAGAAGGAGGGCGCGGGGGGTCAGCGCGCCCCCCGCGACCCCGCCCAGGACCTCGTGCTGCCGCCGGGGCCCGGCGGCGGCGGCGGCTCCGAGGGGCTCCTCGCCGCCCGTTGCCTCTCGGCGGCTGCAGGAGAGGCCCCTGTGATGGGCCTGTTCTCCACCGCCACCACCAGGAGTTGGAGGGGGAGGTTGAGGAGGAGGAGGAGCAGGAGGAGGAGGAGGAGAAGGACGAGGAGGAGGAGGAGGAGGAGGAGGAGGAGGAAGAGTAGGAGGAGGAGGAGGAGGAGGTCGACGACGACGAGGAGAAGGAGGAGGAAGAGGAGGACCCCCTCCACCTCCAACTTATGGTGGTGGTGGAAAACAAGCCCATCACCTTTGGCCAAGGTTTAGGTCGGGCGTGTCCCTCTTCAGGAGGAGTATGCAAACATAGTCAACACATAGTCGGGGACGATTTTTGTTTATTATTCTTACTCATGTGTTTGGCTTATCTCTTGGATCTTTTTCATTTTCGTCCAAACACCGCCTGTAG